GTTGTGGTGCGAAGCACATTTCCAAGTCAAAATGTACAAAACACACCATTCTCGGACCACTTTTGGAGGTTCTGATGTCGAAAAAGTGCACGCCATTGTGGCACCAAGCACATTTCGAAGTCAAAATGTTAAAAACACCAGGGGTTCGGACCACTTTTGGAGGTTCGGATGTCGCTTCGCTTCACTTCACTAGACTACACTACATTACACTACACTACACTCCACTACACTACACTACATTACACTACACTACACTGCACAACACTACAACTACAACTGCACAACTACACTCCACTACACTCCACTACACTCCACTACACTCCACCATACTCGACTACACTCCACTACACTACATCACACTACACTACATTACACTACACTACACTCCACTACACTACACTACACTACATTACACTACACTACACTACTTTCCACTACACTTCACTACATTCCACTACACTACAACTACACAACTACACTCCACTACACTAAATTACACTACACTACATTACACTACACTCCACTACACTACATTACACTACACTACCTTCCAGCACACTTCACTACATTACACTACACTACACGCCACTACACTACAACTACAACTACAACTACACAACTACACTCCACTACACTCCACCACACTCCACTACACTCCACTACACTCCACTACACTCCACTACACTAAATTACACTACACTACACTACATTACACTACATGACACTACACTCCACTACACTCCACTACACTAAATTACACTACACTTGACTACATTACACTACACTACACTCCACTACATTACATTACACTACACTACCTTCCACTACACTTCACTACATTACACTACACTACACGCCACTACACTACAGCTACAACTACACAACTACACTCCACTACACCACACTACATTACACTACACTTCATTACACTGAATGACACTGCACCACAGATAGACAGGTAGACAGATAGATAGATAGATAGACAGATAGACAGGTAGACAGCTAGACAGATGAAGGAGGGAGAGAGAGAGAGAGATAGATAGATAGATAGATAGATTAGGTAGATAGACTAGGTAGATAGACTAGGTAGATAGATAGATAGATAGATAGATGGACAGATTGACGGACAGACAAATAGATAGAGAGACAGCTAAATAAAAAGATAGATCGATAGATAGATAGATAGGTAGATAGATAGATAGAAAGATAGAAAGATAGGTAGGTAGGTAGATAGTCAGAGAAAGAGAGAGAAATAGTGAGAGAGATCAATCACCTTTCGCTCCATCAGTGGCTTCGCTCTGCCATCCCTGATTCACAACAACCAACCTCTCCTGTAGGTTTCCTATTTTTGAAACTTCCGCCACCGCCTTGCGCGGTACTACTGGTATAAAATCAAACTGGAGACCTAAATTGCTTGGCATGATTCAACAACAAAAAATATGGTCAAACCAACAACAGCTGGGATCTAGCAAACAAACAATTTCACAACGTAAATTGATATATAGACATTCGCGGCAAACATCAATCTCCAGCCAGAATTTTGTTAGATTCAAGGTGAAATACCCTCTGGTAAACTAACATAACTATGGGACATCACCATTATACCATTTTTTAATGGGAAAACTCACTATAAATGGCAATTTTCAATAGCTTCTTCTATGTTTACCACAGGGTACAGCAAGCAACAGAAAGGATTGACCCACTTTAAGGTCAACCCCTTACAAAATGACGACTCAAAATCGAGGAAATCGCCATGTGCTTGTTGTTTAAATACACAAAATCCAAATGCTGTGACTTTTAAACATACTAACTTCCAGTTTCTTGGTTACCCTCTGGTAAATTAACAGTTGGACCCTGAAAATCACCATTACGCAAAACGAATCTTCTAACCCCTATCTGGCAGGGTCTACGTTAATTTACTGGAGGTGAATTTCCTCTTGTTTTCCAGGACAATTTTAATCATGCGAGGTGCGAAGACTGCTCACAATCCCAGCGCCAAGACAACCTCAGTGCCGGATGCGCGGCAGGCAGTTGCGCAGATTACCCAACCGTGTTTGGGTTGTTCCGTAATTTATATTATCTAACCATAGTAACTAAAGAACCCTCCCAAAAAAGATAGAAACATGCTTTCAGGATGATATAGATTATATATATATTTTTTCCTGTATTTTCCAGGCTTCCTACTTTTCTATCTATGTGTGGATTGCTAATGGTTACTATATGAAATAGCTGATTCAACAATAAATCAACTATCAAATTAAGTACTACACAGTCAACAATAACTCCCAAATCAACCACAAATGTTGGTTTACTGCGGGTTGAATATAAAATGTGCTCCCTGGTCACCCCAGATGCGTTTGAGGGGAAAATGGCTAGACAAAGAAGGCACATTACCATCATGTTGCACCCAGAAAATGGTGATCATTGCAACCCCGGATTGCTTCTGGTGAGGACTTGGGGGGTCCACTACCAAAATAGTGATGCGTTTGAAAAACAAAAGAAGCACTAACGCCTGTATTCCTACTGGTAAAGGGTGTGTCAATAAATCCTGGTTTGACATGATTTAACCAGCAAACATGTGGCTTTAAACATCTTTAACCCCTGGCAACAAAACTGCAAACATGTGAGAAACATGTTGATATGTCACTTAAATCTCTCACAAACCAGTGCTTTCCATCGAGTTCCCTCACAAGATTCCATTTTCCTTACAGTGTTCAAACTCCTTCTATCATTCCATTAAGAAAACGGTTTGTCCAGTCGCATTTCCGGGGATTAAATGGAATGATGCTGTTCAACTTCTATTTTTAACCCTTTTAACCAACTTACCGGATTTTTTCAGCATCATTCCATTTAATCCTGGTTGGTTAAAATCGGGACTCCCCGTTCTTGGAATATGAAATAATCCCCAATATAAGAGTAGTATAATCCCCGAACTAATCATCAACCAATCACAATTTATCAATATCTATCAACTATATCAACTAGAATCCTATATGTTGGATGGTTCAATTCCATATATATATATGCCATTTTAACAATCAACCCTGCCAGCGGTTTGTTGAGCCTTCAAAAACCCTGTGTCATTCCATTGAATCCCGGTGATTTAAGAATTATTTTGATTAATGATACAAAAACATGAATCCAGGGATTTACATAGGATTTAATGGTGATTTAATGGGATTTAATGGTGATTTAATGGGATATAATGGGATATACCCTCTGGAAAATTAACATAGACCCTGGCAGTTGTCGGGGTTGGAAGCCTAGTGAAACCATTAAACATTGGCTATTTTCCGGGTCTATGTTTATTTACCAGTAATGATACAATTTTGATTAGTAATTAACAACAATAATTGAATCCTGGTTTACAAGGGATTCTCCGTTCTTGGATTATCAACAAGTATGAAATAATCCCCAGTATAGAAAGGGTACTATAATATCTATAATCTAACTAATCCCCGAACTAATCATCAACCATCATCAACCAACCAGGCAAGTACTAATCATCAGCCACTGTTTTTTTGTTTGAACGGCTAAGGGACAGGTACTCGCCCTCAGGCAAATCCTCTGGCACTTTCACCAAATCCATCTGGGCGCAGACAGCGAAGCGCGAAGCCGTAGGACCCGTAGGACAATGGTGGTTGATCCCAACCAGTTAATTGTGTTGGTTGACAAAGCATAGAACCTAGGTTGATATATATATATATATATACGTATATATATATGTGGGTAAATAATGATATTTCACTAACCTGAATTAAGGCCATTTGGGGATCATTTCCCCTACTAACTATGATTATCGTGAGGTCGCAGTGAGGTCGTTATAATTTACCCATATATATATATCATAAATCAGAGTGAAATTGGAGTGATTAAAACTAACTTAGGCAACAAACTGGGGCACTCACCTGTTGATTCTCCATAAATGTGTGTGGTTGTCCAGCAATACAGTATCCACATATGCAGCGGTTTATCATACATACTTGTCCCAATCGAATAGTCATGTTGCCGCATCGCCATTTCCGAAAGAGCATGTAGCTATGAGTATAAAACCATATAGTTTTTACAATGTTCCCCATCAGCATGAAAATTACAAACTTACCTGTGAAAATATGTGATCATTTGATCATTGTATTACTATGTATTTATATTGTTGGTTATCTCTATAATTGTATCTCAATTACCATCGCATTTTAGTGATAAAACCGCCATCATAGTTCCTTTATAATTCTATTATAGTCCCAATATATCTCAAATGTATTCCAAACATAAGGGATTGTAATATAAGACCTAGATAAACCCAGAGAGATAGGGCATCTATACATATATATATATATATATACATATGGGTGAATGAATAATACATGAATGAATTAATACATGATCAAATAATTATTATCATATGTACATATATATATATTGCCCTACATCCTAGAATTAATGCATGGGAAACCATAGATTTTCCCATTAAATATGCTTTCGTTCCTGCAACATTTCCCTTAAACCAATCCTGGTTGGTGGTTTCAACCCTCTGAAAAATATGAAAGTCAGTTGGGATTATGAAATTCCCAACATAGAGAAAAATAATCCAATGTTCGAAACCACCAACCAGAATCCATTGAGATTAGGTATCAACCAATCTTGTTGCTTATTACCCTCTGGTAAACTAACACAACAATGGAAAATCACAATTTTCAATGGGAAAATCCACTATTTCAATGGCCATTTTCAATAGCAAACTGTTAGTTTACCAGAGGGTACATCGTCAAAAATCGCTCGAAAACTCACGAAACATTCACGTCATCGTCAAGGCACGATGCTGATGGGGAAACCGCGAGACATTGGTGGATTACCTGCGAAAGACAACGAACGGCAAAAAAAATCTGTTGTTTGGATGGCCCATTTATAGATGGTTTACCTATTTAAATTGTGATTTTCCATGGCTATGTTAAATAACCAGATGGTATACATAAATATACATAATAGATACATGGTAAACCTACCCCTCTGAAAAATATTAGACAGTTGGGCTTATTGTTCCCAATATATGGAAAAATAACAAATATTCCAAACCACCAACCAGTTCTTTTATTGGTGAACCTTCCCCATTCAGTGCAATTAGGGGTTATCATTCTACCCTCTCAACCATTTTGGGGTATCCCCTATTTTAGGAAACCACCGTATACATTGTGATATACCCTCTGGTAAACTAACATAGCTATGGAAAATCACAATCTTTAATATGTAAATCAACTATAAATGGACCATTTTCAATAGCTATGTTAAATTTCCAGGCGGTATGTATATATATATACATACATATACATATGAACATGTATGTGTATTTAAATATAAAGATGCATGTATACATATGGATATGTTGGTGTATATACATGTATATATATATATATACGAAACAATATAAACAGGTATATATATATATATGACTATATATAGACATATATATACACATATATATATATATATACATACATGAATCATGAATAACTCCCCCAAACCAAGTACCCATCCAAGGTTGCTCAGTTAGACGTGGATTCAGAATTGAATTGTTTATAAGAGGTTTAAGGCATTGGACTCTACATTGGGTCATTGAGTTTGTTAGTTGGTTACAACCCTGCGCATGGTTTATAACTCAATCGATTGGGATTGATGTGCATTGGTTTTACCATGTTTTACGCGGTTGCTCCCGACACCTCAGATACAACGGGAAAGATGGGTAAATAAACAAATAGCAACATACCCTCTGGTAAAGCAACATAGCTGTGGAACATTGCACATTTATAGTTGATTCACCTATTGAACATAGTGATTTTCCATAGCAAGCTGTTAGTTTGCCAAAGGGTAACCAATTTGCTCAGCAGTGGTACAATGTGGGCCCCCCAGTTACATGTTGGTTAATAACACCCATGAATACTACAGTTATACTTATCATGAACCATAGTTATTGGATGTTATTGGAATTATGATGTGTACCCACTTACAATGTGAGGCCCCCAAGATAGCTAAGTTGGTTTATAACTCCAATAACTATGGTTTATGGTACTTATAACTATAGTTACTGGGGCTTATAAACCAACTTATAACTGGGGGGGTCACATTGTAGATATCATGATAATGCAACATTTCCCATTCATAGATTTTGTCCCATTTAAACACCATTTCCAGCCACCTTTGATTACCAACTCAGCGATTTCTCGATTTCGCTGCCGCACCTTTGATCATGAGTAGAGTGAACACTAAATGCTGGATTCCTAAAATCATTGCTTTCCACACTAAATGGTCTAATCTTGAATGATTTGATTGGGGATAGGGGTACCTTAAAATTAAAGGACACCTCATGACTGAAACTATGCCCATTCTATTGCCATTCATGGTGAATCTTAGATACCTGCCAAAGAAATCATTGTTTTAGCTGGTGAATGAACGAATTTTAGTACATTTCTCCATTGAAATTGCAAACGATGGAAGTACTAGTTTGTATATAAGTCAGCTGACCCAGATGAGCTCAACATAGCTCAACCAAATAATGTTGCTGTATGTTGATTTAGACTCACTGAATACTGCTAGAGTTACAAGATGTTACAAGTTTTTGTAGGTTTTAACCTCACTTATAAGTGAACTAACATTAACATGAACTAACTCTACTTAGCTACAATGTGAGGCTGGTGAACATAACTCCAATTTCACGAACTGGTTTATGGTACGCAAATAACGAACTAGTTACTGGGGCGAATCTAAACCAACAAACATAACGTGGCCGGGGGCCCCACACCAACGAGCAGCTCACCTTGTTCGCCCCCCATGAGGTTGATCCACTGCGGCACATCGGGACCCAAATGACTGCGCCAATAGGGCACGTGGCCACTCAAACCTGCCAGGTTTACCCTCTGGTAAACACAAAAAAAATTGGCGGCTTCCCCCATTGACTATCTTGTAGTTAGGACTATCATATGGGTATACCCAATGATGAAGCTTTAGATATTATGGGATATTATTTAAAACAAAACTCTGTAAACGGGCTAACACAACTATGGAAAGATCCACCATTTTATAGCTGGGTAAATCAACTATTTCGACTGGGCCATTTTCAATAGCAAACTGTTTGTTTACCAGAGGGAAATGGAAATGAAAATAGCAATGTGGGGCCCCCAAACTTTATCTTTGTTGGTTTGTAACCACATCTAACATCATCGTTCTAACATGTTATAACACCTATGAACCCTAGTGATTGTAGCTATGTTCACCAACTTCGCTATCGAACGGGGGCCCCACATTGTAGTGGTTTAGCATGCTTTAACAAGGGACAATTATTGGATATTATTGGGATATAACTTGGGATTTGATGATGTTTTGTTCAATGTATATCATTAATGAGGGAAAATGATTGGGATGTAATTTGAATGGAATTAGAGGGATGGGACTAATGTGGTTAAAACAAAAATAACCTATCCAGTTGGGAATGGTAACCATACCACCTATAAAAATGGTGATGGCTGGGGGATGGTTTATGGCATTGTTTTAACATCCCCCTTGCAATTAAGGGGGAGGTGCTGGACCCCTCGATCCAGTAGAGGGCCCCTAGGTCAGGTACCAAAAAATTCTTTACTAAATCAATCTCTGCTCTCCAGACTAGGATGTTAGCTTCTACAAAATCAAGAACCTTCCACAAAAAAAATCTGACAAGGCAAATTCATCTTTTCGACAAAATCAATAACCTCACATGAGAAAGTATCAAGTAAACATATGTTGGATTTGTTTTAAGTAAAAACATCCAGGATGATTCTGTAGAGATTTTGGTTAGAGTCGATTCTGTAGAGATTGTTTGTTTGTCTTTGTTTTTGTAGCATGAATTTTTACAAGTTTTACAAGTCCCATCAAAAGTCCAAAGTGCTTGTCTTTGATTTTGTAGCATGAAATTTTACAAGTTTTACAAGTCCCATCCAAAGTCCCAAAGTGCCTGTCTTTGATTTTGTAGCATGAATGCACTTACAAGTTACAAGTCCAATCCAAAGTCCCAAATGCCTGTCTTTGATTTTGTAGCATGAGTTCGTTTACAAGTTTCACAAGTCAGTCCAAGATGTCCCAAATGGCCTGTCTTTGATTTTGTAGCATTGAGTTCCTTTACAAGATTTTACAAGTCAGTTGAAGGTGTCCAAAATGACTGGTCTTTGATTTTGTAGCATGTTTTCTTTGTCACAAGCCTTATCTCTACAAAATCAGGTGCATGCCCAAAAAGTAAGGTTTTGTGCACTCCCGGCTGACTGTTGGGGCCCCTGTCTACAGAATCATGGACCTACTAAGATATAGTCCAAATATGTCCAAAACTGATGATTTTTGGGTGCTTACCAGCCCATGGTCTTTGATTTTGTAGCAAAGTGGGGTGCAGGAGGGCTCTCCAGAATCGAAGATTTTTTGGGGTGCCAGCCCCCTCGATTCTGTAGAGGAAATTGCAACAAGGATGTTTTAACCACGTTAGTGGTTTAACGAAGGAACGAAGGTCATTTCTTTAAAGCAATGCTTCAAATTTCGGGTGCCTCAGCAACTGTGGTGATACTGGGAGATAAAGACGCACCTCGCACCTTTTCATGTCCCGGCCACGTTATTTTTGTTGGTTTATAAGCCCCAGTAACTATAGTTATAAGTACCATAAACCATAGTGAAATTGTTGTTCACTATCGTGGCCGGGGGGTCTCACATTGTACCGTACTTTCGTGCTCCTAATTCCGTTCTATAATTCGTGCCACGGCTCTTGATATCAAGGGATGGAATGTGATGGGAATATGATGGGGATATACCGTTTTTTTTCTGCATACTGGTCTAATTGGAACAAAAAAAGGTGGTTTCATGGGGATTCATGAGGGATCTTGCTCCAACCAAACTGATTTGGGGTCTAAAAGCAACTATTTGAGGTTTTCATGGGATTTGACGGGACAATATCTGTGAATAGTTTTACGGTACGTATACATACCCGCAACCGATCAACGGCAAAGCAATGTGTTGGCGTGCTGTTGACTTAGAACGACCCTAATGAAGTTTGCAGTTCAACGAAATTCCGCATGAATCTGGGTAAATTACATAATTCACAGGCCTAATGGCGGTGTTGGCATTTTTGTGCGTCAGTCTCTTCCTCAAAAACCTGCCTTGGCTGCTTGTGGTGAAGTGTCTCAACTTGTTGGCGTGTGGATTGGCGGGTGCTTAATTTGTTGCGCCTATTGCTCTCCTGGGCAGTTAGGCCCTTCTGATCTTGCTTCCGTCTTTTCCCAAGAGTTTATGTCCCTTGGCATGTCTCAGCGTCAGCCTTGGTTTTGTGTGGGAGATTTCAACAAAATTCCTGGGAGTTCTGTGGTTGAAACCGTCATGGAATCCTTTGGTGGCGTGGTGCGTTCCTGTGGTCTTCCTACTCGGTGGAAAGGGGAACGGTGTGTGGATTGGGCCATGGCTAATTGCCCTCACAATGCGTCGGTTCCTTGGTTGTTGTCCACGGCTATCAGTGATCACATCCCGCTTGCTTTTGATGTGGTGTTGACCGCTGGTCCTTTGTTGCGTGGTACTTTGCAGTCTGGTCCTTCCTGGGTTAAGCCTTCGGGTGTTCCTTTGGATCTTTGGCGTCAGGTGGTTGAGTTGTGTTGGTCTCGGCATCCTTGTGTTGATCAACTCTCGCAGTTTTTGCTCTCTGACCGTCTTGATGTCCAGGTTGAATGGGATTTGTTCCAACAGGTCTTACAAGAGTCCTTACGTACGGCGATCGAGACTCTTCGTGTCCATGACGGCTTGCATGAAGATGTTGCGAAACAGTGTGATCGCATGTTGGCTCAGCGCGGTGTTAAAGGTTGCATGGCTCGGTTTCGCCGGGAACAACTCAAAGGTGGTGTTCGTCAAGAAATTGGGAGCCTCAATATCCGCAAGCGGCGGCATTGGCTTGCTCGGTTGTATGAGTACCGTCATCTTTTGCGCGCTGTCTCTGAGGGTCTCTCGGAATCTCGTCAGCTTGAGCTTGATAATTTGCGTTCCAAGGTGACTCGTCGCCTTGGGTATGTTCCTTCAATTCTGCAAATTGAAATTGAAATTTCTCATTTGTCTCAGGAAATTTCGTCATTGGAAGCCTCTGCCAAACGTTTGAGATTGGCCACGTGGAAGCAGGCCGTGATTGATGACGATAAAGCTTTGGGCTGTTGGTTGCGTTCCAAGTGTGTGCGCAATGCTTGTTTTGTGCAAGGTTCTGATTCGACTAGTGGTGCTTGCCGGTTGATTCATGACTATTGGTCCAACTTTTGGCATGAAGCTGAAAGGGATTGTCCGTCTGTCGATGCTCGTATTAGCGCTTTGGTGCGTGACCTGCCTGGTGCCTCTGAAATGACTTGGTCCTTGCCTTCGGGGGCTCAACTTTATGAGCGTGCGCGACGGTCTAGAGGTGCGGCCGGGGTTGATTCTTGGTCTGGCAGTGAGATCGCGTCTTTGCCGGTCATTGTCATGGACGCGTTTGCTGCTCTTGCTCGTCGGTGGGTTCTTGCTGGGGCTGCGCCTGAGCAGTTTTCGGAATGCCGGATGGTTTTACTACCAAAGGAAGGCAAGCTCGATGTTTCTTTGGTCACTACTGTGGCCAACCTGAGGCCCATCAGCGTCCTTTCGTGTTGGCGGCGGCTTTGGATTGGGTGTGTGTTGCGGGTCCCTGAGTGTGTTCATTGGATTCAACACTTCCTGCCTCATGAGGTTGCTGTCGGAAACAATGTTTCGGCAGAACAATGTGTGTACGAGCTTGTGGATGAATGGACTGCTTGTCAGGGTGGTCTTGTGTCTCTTGACTATTCAAAAGCCTTTGATCGCCTTCATCCGGTTGTCTCTATTGCTATGCTCAGGCATCTTGGCTGGCCTTCGGGGTTGGTGAATGTGTTGGCTGATGTGTGGTCTTCGCAGCGCAGGTGGATTCAATTTCAGTCGGCAGGACGGGAGTTTCTAGCCGTTGCGTGTGGGGGTGTGGGGACTGGGGGACCTGGGATCATTGTGCTTGGTCCTGCAGTGACCGCCCGGGAGTTGAATTGTTGCCGGGTCGGCCTGCGCATCAATTGACTTCGCGGTATGGTTGGAAGATCGGATTTGTTCCTAACATTGATCAGATTCAAGCGTGGCTGGTGCAGGTGCAATCTCGGATGTGGGAGGTTAATCACCCTCGTCCTGCTGATGCACCTTAAACTGTTTTGCTTGGTTGCCGGCCACTTCCCTCTGTGGGGTGGCGGGTTTGTGTGGTTGGCACCTTTTGGTGCCCGTTTCGGTGCGGCGTCTGTTTGGGGGCGCTTGCATCTCACAAAGTACTTCTTCTTTTTCAGGTACCTGAAATACGGCCAGCTATGGGGATGATTCCCCGAATTCCAAGCATGATTCCAGGCTTCCGTCACGACGTTTTTTTAGTGTCCTATTACACAACATTTTCATACAGTTTCCAGTCTCCCACAGCCTCAGAAAGACAAAAAACCTACGGGACCAAGTTGGGGGATGACATTCCCATATGCTCCATGTATGGTATATTTACATACATTTGGGTCATTTATGGGGTCATTATGCTTACACATGACAATTTCAACATGAGGTGCGCTACCTGCCTTCGACTCCTGTGACCAACTTCTGCTGCGGACATGCTGTGTCACGACCAGCTTGACATGCAGCTACTCATCGTGTTCCATCAACCACTGTACAGCCAATCACCACGTGCTGCAACAATTGTGTGGCATCTTTGCCAAATCAAAAAAGACACAGCTATGGAGCTAGGTTCCACAGGAAATCAGGCCCGAAATGAATGGAGCATCTTGTGGAAGCCAGCTTGACAATGTGACCTCCGCTAATTTATGGGGTAAATGTTGGTAAATATTCCATACATGGAGCATATGAGATTGATGTTGAAAAAAAGCGGAAGCCACGCCATAAACAATTACACAACTTGGGGATGGTGGGGTTTCCACCTTTATCCCACCGAGAAAAAACATTGGGATTTCTGGGATGGTTTTTTATTTTTTGTCTACCACATTAACTGGTTGGTGGTATACCTACCCCTCTGAAAAATGATGGAGTTCGTCAGTTGGGGTTACTATTCCCAATATGAATGGAAAAAATATTCACAAATGTTCCAAACCACCAGTGATTATTAACCATTAACCATCATTAACCATCATTAACCATCATTAACCATCATTAACCATCATTAACCATCATTAACCATCACTAACCACTATTATTGGTATATAATCCCAAAACCAAACCACCAACCAGCTAACTTTTCTATACACCTTCAATCACTGGACGGCTCATCTTCATTTTTCTCCACCAGTATCAAAGTCTGTTGATCCCCCATCAAGTTGTGTATGGCTCCACCTGGCTAGGTACTGACTATCCACCTACCCTCTGGTGAACTAACATAACTATGGAAAATCACCATTTTTAATGGCTAAATCCACTATTTTGTCTGGGTCATTTTCAATAGCTATGCAACAAATTACCAGAGAGTACCCAAAAGAACAAGAGCGGTGGAGCAGTGGAGCGGTGGAACATGGCTAGAGGATAGGGGTTTCATCACCAAGTTCTTTACCAAACAAAAAGGTGGTTACCCGGGTTTATCAAACGTGGCTGGGACTCCGACATCTCCTATTATATAATAGAAATAGAGGTCTTGATGGGAACATCAACATCATCTAGAACTAGGTGATTGTCCATTGCGCTGATTTCCAGAGGGTATGTGATGAAAAATATCACCATTTCACTTCAGTAAACTCCTTTTTTTTTGAGGAAACACATGCTTGAATTCACCTAGAATCTGAGGATTGGTTTGTCTGAACAGAGGGGATTAACCCAAGTTTTTGGCACTTTTAATGAGACAAACAAGGCGTTAAACCACCAAATTAACTCATATTTCAATCCAGGCAGTAATTACATGGGTTGTATACTCATGCCATAAACAATTAACGATGGTTAAAGCAGCATGTTGGATAAGAAAAAACATGCCCTCTGGCCCTCTGGTAATTTAACACATGAGCAATGAGAAAAATAGGTTTCCCTATTACTCGTTAGTTCATAATCCCAAAAAGCGAGGTGGTATAATTACAACTTCATCACCAATCAACCAAAATATTTTTCAGTTGCATCATTATATATACGTATATATATATATATATACACCCATGGTTGATGGTTAAAACCCCAAATAAATCCTTACAGGATGGTGCCGCTCACTTGTAAGTTGGTGTATAAGCTCCATGAATACTATGGTTATATCTATCTACCATAAACCATAGTTAAGCATAGAATTCAGCCACTTATAAGTCAACTGAACGCTATCTTGGGGGCCCCATCCTGTATCACCAGGATATATCCAGGAGATTTTCATAGCTCAAACGGCCTGGAAAAGGTTCTGGAAACTGCACCCAGTTGGGTGGGCAAACCACCACATCGTAACCACTGGCTGCCTGCCATCCACGTTGGGCAAAACACAACATCTCTGGCTGTGCAGTGCAAACAAGGCCTGTTTTTAAGAAACAAAAATTGGGGTATAAACGGTATAAACAAACCAGATTTTGGGGATATATTAACAATCATAATCCCCAAAATCAACACAATCATGGGAGTTGTTTCATGGAATATATTACAAACAGATATAACCAGAATAAGCCAGATTTTGGCCTGAAATTGCCGTTGATACATTGGAGGTACCTAAGACTGGCAAAGTTTAGGCGTGACCTCCATGTCAGAGTGTAGAAAGGCACCAAACATGACACAGGACTTCCATTTCAGGTACAGTACCTCAACCATCAATGGACCCTAAACCAGTGCTTGGAAGGTGCAGTTGGGGAGGAATTTTTGGGACATAGCGCACACATTTTCGGGCACCTGTAACTATGCTTATCCATGTAGAAATGGAACTGCACCCGCAAGTATTATGATTATGACCAGTGAAATACCTCTCCTTGATTGATCATGATTGATCCATCGACATGCAGCATGGCTACTACCAAGCTGAACAATGCAATCCATACAATCCATACAGCTTGGATTTTATTGTAATCCCCGACGAGTGTCACCTCAGAATGACAGGTATTATGAGTTTATATTGGCTACAGGCCGCACAGCAAAACTGGTTGGTGGTTTCAACCATCTTGAAAAATATTAGTCAATGGGAAGGATTATCCCATATATTATGGAAAATCAAACATGTTTGAAACCACAAACCAGAAAACCTGGATTTGCTTAAGGAACCACTAAACAAATTCAACGCATTCGCTGTAGATTCCCCAGTTGCAGTGGATTTCCTGATTTTGCTGAGTCGATGATATGTCATTTATCGACTCAGCAAAACCAGGGAGATAATTGGATTTAATGATGTTTAATGATATATTCACTGGGATTAGAATGGGATTATAATGGGATTACAAGGGGGTTCTAATGGGACTATAATGAGATTAGGAGATGGGATAAGTGTCGCCGTAGACCGCAAAGAAAAACCCATCCCAATAGCCAACGGGATGGCTCTGCATCATCCCAGTCATACAGGATGGGCCCCCCCAGTTATAAGTTGGTTTTTAAACCATTATAACCCCCATTACCTGTAGTTATATTCATCATAAACCATAGAATTCAGCCACTTACCCTCCAGTAAATTAACATAGACCCTGCATAGGGGTTGAAAGATTAGTTTCCTCTAAAAATTGGTGATTTTCAGGGTCCAACTGTTAATTTTCCAGAGGGTATAAGGCAACTCATCTTGGGGGCCCCAGAAACTGTAGGGGTATACTAAATTTCATAAGCCTCTATTGGGGATGGTGCAATTGGCAGTGGGTCTACCTCAGCATGGGCGATGTTTTTTTGGTGGTGAAAAATTTCCATTCAAATCCCATCATGATCCCATGAAAACCATCATAATCCCAGAAAATCCCATTGTAATCTCACTATAATCCCATTATTAACCAAGATACACTTGGGATTTTCCATGCGGGTTACCCTCTGGTGAACTAACATAGCTATGGATAATCACAATGTCTAGTAGGTAAATCAACGAACTAAATGGGCCATATTCAATAGCAAACTGTTAGTTTACCAGAGGGTATGTTGTTGTTTGTTTATTTATCCAGTTTTCTCCCCTATAAATAAACAATTATAGATGGGGGGTAAATCAACTATAAATATATATCTCTAAATATATTTTAATATCTCTAAATATCTATAAACATCTATAAACATCTAAAAATATCTATAAACATCTAAAAATATCTATAAATGGCCATTTTCAATAGCTATGCAACAAATTACCAGAGGCTAATCCCACCCAACCTGGGCACAGGAGATGTACTGGTCACGAGGCAAGCCCTCGCACTGCGCCTGAGATGCGAGGAGACAAAAACCGATGGGGGTCATCGTTTTCCAATATATATTTCACTAACGGGCTATACCCCCACTTGTATGAAAAAAATACATGTCCAATAAATTAGATGTTAATAGATGTTAATATGGATGTTAAAATCCCCAATGTAAATTATAATGGCACAGGGGTATGTTTATTATATAAATATACATATAGATGGGATAGGGGTATTTTGAATGGCACCTCTGTATCTGGGATATACCAGTTAGATAATATGGAATACCCCCACTTATATATGGCTGGATCACAATAGTGGAAGATTGAGAAAATACATGTCCAATAGTGATTACTAGTGATTCTATAATAGATGTTAATAGATGTTAATGGGTGTTAATGTGGATGTTAATATCCCCATTTACATATGGGATTAAATTGTATATATATATATATGTATAAATATACATATATATATATGAGTAAACTAAAATATATGGTTGGTGGTTGACCTACCCCTCTTAAAAAAGATGAGTTCGTCAGTTGGGATGGTGAAATCCCTAATATATGGAAAAATAAAATTCATGTTCCAAACCACCAACCGGGTGTATATATATATATATATATGGGTAAATTAATACATTTCTCAAACCTGAAATGTACGGCCATTTTTGGGTATTTATCCCTTATTAACCATGAGTCCAGTGAGGGAGACAGTGAGGTCGTTTTATTTACCCATAGATATATATATATATATACATACGCCCCATAAACCCATTTTCTCCTATACTTAGATGAGTGTATGATTATGTATATATATATATATATATACATATACCTGTTTATATACCATCTAACTACACAATGGTGGGCTCCCGTTCGATAGATAAGTTGGTTTATAAGCCCCAGTAACTAGTTCGTTATAAGTACTATAAACCATAGCTATTGGAGTGATGTTCACCAACTTAGCTATTGAACGGGGGCCTCACATTGCAAGAAACAACAGGCTTGCTCCAAACACCACAGCTAAAAGGATAAGAAAGGTACATTGACTAGATGTAAGGATAAACTATGGTAAACTGAGCCATTTAGCTCCTAGAAATGGCTATCATTTAGCTAGAATGACTTGGAGCAACCATGAACAATGAGAATATCATGGGAATGTTGTGAGACTATCATGAAGAGTAGTGGTTGAATATAAGTTTAAACGAGGAATCATAGGGAGATTTAAGCATCAATTTTTCGGGGGAATGTTATGGGAATATCATGGAGGCTGAAAATGGGGATGAGCCCTTCCGATTTTTTCACCAACAATCACTGGGGTAAGTTTCGTTCACCAACAATAACTGGGGAAACATGTGAGTTTATGGATGTTTATGGTACCCTCTTGTTATTTAACATAGCCATGAAAGCTCTGACCCATTTACACCATAGAAATAGATGATTGTCCCAGCTAGAAACCTCCATTTATTTTGGGGATTTTCCAGTTCGCTATGTTAGTCATAACCAGATGGTAGATTACATCATCCTTTTGTATCCCCATACCATTCAACCACCATTTAACCATCATAAAACCTCCTGGTATCAATGCTGTGTAAGATCCATGGTTGATACCCCTAAGTCAAGATCCATGTGGTATCACGAAATAAACCAATTTTTTTAATGCTGGGCCATAACTGTAGAAAGTTGATGATAGCTGGGCCATAACTGTTTACACCAAAAATTTGGTCCAATTACTACAGATCATCTAGACGTTGGTTTTCAGTTTCTTGCAGCCATGTGATATTCCATATTTTGGGCCATATTTTGCTGGGATATTCCCTGAAATTTAGGCCTAAAAAATAGGCCTTATATATGGTAGGTACCTCCAATCAATCGGTCCCTGAAATGGCCATTGACATGTGATTGTGTTTTTCCCATTTAGGGTGGATCTACCCATCCAACCAAACAGTTTGTAGGTTGCGTGATGAATGTGGGGTGGTACGCCATCAGGGGAAAAACAATCCTTTCCCCTCATTAAAAAAACACCCAAACCAAATGCAGGTATAGTCCTGGATCTATTCATGAATTTGGGGCCGCTAGAAAAATTGGATTGTATTTACTATGCTTGGGGAGGGGATTCTTGGAGATACGGTGGATGGAAGAAATCCTGCACCAGTTGATAGGTGGCTGATCCCATTATTTATAGTTATAGGGCTTTAACCATCCATGGCGATGCAGGTTTTCTTCCATCCACAGAAGTTTAGCAAACATCATCATGGGATTGGTTTCAATATGATGCATATATCAATGGCCATTTCAGGAACCGATTGATTGGAGGTACCTACCATATATAAGGCCTATTTTTCAGGCCTAAATTTCAGGGGATATACCCCCAATTCATATGGCCCAAAAGATGGTACTTACGTAACGTACCTCCATCTGTTGGATCCTGAGTCATTCCCATTGAATATAGATCTGGATCATCCCCATAATCGAAGAATCAGGGTTGCCTTCAAAATAATCCATGTTTGCTTTCCATGGCTAAACTCAACAGTACCCCCTGGAAAACATCTTATTCATTCTGATTCTAGATTATACAACGTGGGGCCCCCGTTCAATAGCTAAGTTCGGGCTCACATAAGTCCAATTTCACTATGGTTTATGTATATTTATGGTACTTATAACTATAGTTACTGTTTTTGTTTAACCAAAACACATAAATGGGGGGGCCACATTATATCAGTCCATTATCAGTTCTTATTCTACCCCATGGCAGTGAATTCTTCAACCATCCCGTTGGTTTCCAATTTTTGGATGAACTTCCAATTTTCATGGCATTTGGACGATGAAATCCAATTTTTCATGGCAAAATTCTGAATGACATCCCAATTTTCATGGCACCCTGGATGGTCTTCATGACATGTTCATGACATGTTCACATGTCTTTTTTGGCGTCAGCCAGTTTCCGGCCTGGTCAAACATCAAGCAGCTAGGAATCGGATTCCTGTGAGGCAGCTGGGAAAACCTGGGTCAAAACCCTGGTTGTTACAAAGTGGGGCCCCCTAGATCCACGATAGCTAAGTTGGGGTTCACATCACTCCAATTTCACTATGGAAAGATCCACCTTTATCAATAGGTAAATCAACTATTTCTATGGCAATTTTCAACCATATATATATATATATATGTATATATATATATATGGTTGGTGGTTTGAACCCATCTTGACAAATATGAGTTCGTCAATGGGGTTGGGATGACATCCCATATATGAAATGGAAATTAAAAAATGTTTGAAGCCACCAACCAGCTATGGTTTCTGGTACTTGCAACGAACTAGTTACTGGGGCGTATAAACCAAAAAACATAACTGGCCCACATTGTATGGATGTTCATCAATTGTGTATTCATGGGGTTTATAAACCAACATATCACTGGGCTATAACCATGGTTCATATCTACTTGGTGGTGAACTACCCAGGAATCGTTTAGGTGAGTTTGTTCCCCCCAGTCATAAGTGAATTAACTCTACAAAACGCCCATCAACAAAACCAGGATTATAACCACTAAGTGGGATGATGAACATTCATACTTGACTTGTGCTTCCTTTTTTTTGGGAGTCGCGATAAATGGGTATAGTTTGTGTCATGGTTTATGTAAAATCCCCGATGGAATTCTTATTGCATCTCATTGCATCCTCATGCAGGTTGGTTGTATTGTCCATGTTTGCTTAGATCTCTGATTATTCCCCATAAAACCGTTGTATTCCGATTAGTTTCCCATTTTTTGGTTACATATACATATACATATATATATACATAAATGTGTATATATATATATGTCAATATATCCTTGTACGATTTTGAATGGTGTTGAATGAATGGTGGCAAACTTCTTCTCACCAAACATGGTGCGAAGCGCAGACCGCAAGCAGAAAGAACCCATTCAGTTTGGATGTAAATCTAAGTATGGATATCGTGAACCCTAACTATATAACTATGGATTTACCACCAGACTGTGTAATCTGCATTTAAATATGACTTTACCGTATCTGTTTACTTTTTATCCATTTCACGTATACCAAATGTCCTGTGGAAGCACACCTAAACATGCTCGGTTCTGGGGATGTTTTTCTATCGTGGATACCATCATCCCAATACATCATATAGTGGTAGTATGCATACAGCTGGAATATGAATATATTGAGATGATGGTATCCACAAGAATTTTGTATATATATATATATGTATGTATGTATACATATTCTGAGAATTACAATCGGGATAATCCTGCTACAATTACCCCTCCAAGACAATAGTAATATTCAATCCAATAGTACCCTCTGGTAAACTAACATGACTATGGAAAATCACCATTTTCTAGCTGGGTAAATCCACTATTTCTATGGTCATTTTCAATAGCCATGTAACAAATTACCAGAGGGTACCCTCTGGTTATTTAACATAGCCATGGAAGCCATGGCCCATTGATAGATGATTTTCCCAGCTATAAACCTCCATTTATAAGGGATTTTCCATGACTAGGTTAGTCATAACCAGATGGTAATTAATTTCATCATCCCAATGATCCTCTCAGTAAATGCTACTTGGATAGCAGCAGCATTCGTGGTGAGTTTTCCCTAGTTTTTTTGTCGATTCAGCAGGGCTTTTTTTTGACCTAAATAGTTGGCAACCAAGTACAGGATGGGCCCCCCAGTTGTAAGTTGGTTTATAAACCATAACAAAAACCCCATGAATTATAGTTATATCTAAAATAAACCATTGTTAAACAACTTATAAACCAACTTAGCTATCTTGAGGGCCCCACCCTGTAGAAATCAACTATGGTTATATCCCAGTTATATGTTGGTTTATACACCCCATGAAGACAAAACAAAAAGTTGTAAGCAAGTATCATAAACCATATCGAAATTGGAGTTGGCCACCATCTTGCAGTAAAAATAATGGGTGCGCATCCCACTTCGAAAGTGGTTTATAATCCAAATACAATATATATATATATATATGGGTATGTCTCAAAATGAGGAGTGCGGCCCGGGAAGTTTGACTAGGGGGTATGATTCGTGGGTATGATTCGGGGTATGGTTCGGGGTATGGTTCGGGGGTATGGTTCGCGGCCCTTTATGTACCTATACTTAGTCCCAAAATCCCAAAAACATCAGAATGTTGCTAATTAATGCTATCTATATCATGCATGGAGTATATGGGTCTCAATGGCCCTGGGATCGATTTTGCGTGCAATGGTGCTAGTGAAGGGTGTGCTGCACGCTGCAGGGTGCAGCTGTTAGAGTGGCGTGTCCGCTCTGGAGCTGGCTGGTGGTGCTGCTGCAGGGTGCTGCTTCAAGGTGCTGCAGTCAAAGTGGTGTGTGCGCTTTGGAGTTGGCATGTTGGTGCCATCGCAGGATGCCACTGCAGGGTGCCGTTCCCGGATTTTTCTCAGAAGCAGCAGGAGGCGTAGTGTAGCCCGTGGCGAATGGTTGCAAAGAAAAAGATTTATGCTCACAAAACACAAGTTCTGATCTTGCAAATGTACCAAGGTTCAGAATTGGGAAGTTTGAGGTATGATTCGGGTATGATTCGGGTATGATTCGGGGTATGGTTCGGGAACCCATGTTTTTTTGGAATTCAGGAAGCTTTGTTGCTTGAGTCTCTTTTTCCCACCGTCAACCTACCACAACTGCTACTTAATAGCAGACAACACAGCAAGCAGCCAGCCACGCAGCCAGCCAGCCGCAACTAGCCAGCCCTATAGCCAGCCACCCAACCAGCAGCAGCAATTGCCATAGCCACCTAGCCTAGCCAGCCACGCAGCCAGCCACCTAGCCAGCCAGCCAGCCTCACCACTCATGTCGTGAAGGTATGTGAAGGCAGCCAGGGATCATCGGATCTGGCCAACACTTGTCAATTGGCTTGTCACGTCCATTAAAACTAGTGAGGCCATGCAATCCCAAACGATCCCAAAAGAAACATTCATAATCGTGATTTTTGGGGGTATGATTCGCAGGTATGATTCGGGGTATGGTTCGGGGTATGATTCGTGGGTATGGTTCGCAGAACTCGAACTTCCCACCCTTACTAAAATCTGCACACCTGAAAAAAAGACACAGCCATATATATATATATATGAATAATTAACAACTATATATATAACATAATATAATATAACATAATATAATATAATATACTGTAATATAATATAATCTAATTTAATATAATGTAAAATAATATAATAAAACATAATATAATATAATATACTGTAATATAATATACTGTAATATAATATAATCTAATTTAATATAATGTAAAATAATATAATAAAACATAATATAATATAATATAATATAATATATATATAATTATCATTATTATCATTATTACCCATACAATCCCACATATCAGTGGGGATCTTCCGTAACTGGGCCCAAAAAATCTCCGATTCCACCAGGACCCCGTTGAAGCCATGGCGCCTGGCCCATTCGCTGCCTGCGGGGAAAGTTCCATTCCTTGGCGCGGCGCAGCATGCAAAGCTGTCAGTGTGGGGAAATGGAGGTTGAATGGCTGGGAAATATGGCTTTAATGGGAATATCATATAATTCATATAATTGTAAAGGGACATATATTGAGGTCATTCAGATTGAATGGGTTTTAATGGGAATCAATACGGACGATAATGAGATCATCTAATGATAATAATAGGGGATTTTGATGGATTTACTTTTGGTAATAAAGCATGGCTAGATGGGAAATTCCCAAACCAAATGCATATCAATCGTGGCACGAAATATCATTGCTTCAATAAAAATAGAAATATCAGATGTATTGGGATGATGGCATAGTTATCATATAAGTATAATGGGAAATATATTGAGGTTTAATACAGATTGAATGGGTTTTAATGGGAATATGATCGGAATATGATGACAACCTGTCTGAGATCTAATCGTTCTCATTTAATTTATTGAATCATTGTCCCAGCCATTTGGTTTCTTGAATTCTAATGAGGTTTTTTTTATGGGAATGGGAATATCATCAAACGCGGCTAGGAAAATATTATGTATTTTCCAGCACGCCAATGTTTGATTAGCAGAACGTACAAATATGTACAAATCGTTGAGATTCCTATATAATCACCAAGTTGAGTTGTGCCTGACATTTGGTGTCATATTTACAACCAAAAAAAGTAGTAGCTGTGTTCGGTTGGACCTTATTCCCCCATCAAATCCCGCACCAGAAACCCTTAGTCCTAGATGTTGGGATCCGCCATTCGTCCAATCCATATTTGCGCTGGTCCTAAATAGTATTAAGTCGCCCTTATGTTTCTTGGATAAATCCATATATGAGATTATGTAAGTCATTTTTGTTTGGAAAACTCATATTTTTTGTTGGTTCAATCCTCGTGTTTGTGGCTTCAATGCTGTTAAATCCTGATTTTTCTTGGTGAAATCCGGCAAACCCAGGATTTTTCTTCTCCCGGCACAGCGTCCGGATGACTTTCAGCGGCAATTCCAGCTGTGGCAACTCATATCCGATGGAGTCCTGCTGAGAACTGCCATTGAAGTCCTTTGGGGATGGAGTTACCCAAGGTACCCCTGTATCAACATAGCTGGGATGTTCATTGGATCATCCTAAAAATATCTAAAAATGCTGATCCATAAACATGGATGATTTACCTATGAAACAATTCTTATTTTCCATGGTTTTTCTTGTATGTTTGCCAGAGTAACCGAGAATTGAGCACTGGAATACGATTTCCGAATAATAATCAACCAACAGGGGGGTTTGAAGAGTTCTCAATTACCCCTCGTTTATGGTCATCAAATAATCGCCAAAAAAGCTAGGGCCGTCTTTTGGGACAATGGTGACCGTCCATGAATGATGATTTAGTCAATTTAGTCATTATACCCTCTGGTAATTTGTTACATAGCTATTGAAAATGGCCATCGAAATAGTTGATTTACCCACTAATAGCTGGTGATTTTCAACAGCTATGTTAGTTTACCAGAGGGTAATGGGTAATTACATCCCTAGACTTGCAAACACCTCCTCAGACGGTGAGAAATTGATTTGGAGGGTTCATTCATAGCTTCGAGTGTGTGGTCGGATCCAGAATATATCCATAAACGCTCGGTGTTTGTCAAAGATTTTCAGCCACCGAAACGGCGAAACTCGATTGGTTCATTTCGGAATGTGCAACTCAAAGCCATGGGAAAGCCAGGTGGGTACGGGTCAAACTTCCTCCGCTTGCCGAAAACAACTGGATCGAGACTCTTCAATAGACGGATAGATAGAGAAAGAGGGAGAGGAAAGATCTCAAAACGATGCTAATATGTACATTGTTCTGGGTAAATTAAAATAATTCACAAACCTGAAATAAGGCTATCTTGGGGATGTTTCCCCTTACTAACCATGATTATAGCGAGGGAGAGCAGGGTTCGGTCGTGATGAAATTTACCCAGATTGCTGTTTCAACTCAGGGCGGGTCACAAGATGGTAAAAAGCTTCTGCCAATCTTTCACCAAAGCTTCCAAAAATCATCTTGGGAACACCAAATCTATCAATTTCCGAAAGGGAAAACCATGGCAAACCCAGCGTTGGACCGCGATCAAATGCGATCAATTCTGTGGCAAAATATGTAAATCATGCCTTCAATGTCAAGTACACTAAGTACACAATTTCACACATTTTCTACAGCTGGGCCATATTCCTCCGTTCAATGAAATAAGCAAACAAGTTACCTGTGAACATGGGCTTATCTTAAAATCTTGCCAACAAAACAGGTATTCTGAGCGATTCAGTCTATTTTCCCATGTATGGCAACAAAAAACCATCTACTCTAACAGAGAATGACCCAGTTAATCCAATTACAACTATCCAATACAGCCTTACCCAAAAATCATGTCACACATGGCTGCAGCTACTTCATCGTTAATCACGTCATTCCCATTCCGCTCAGTCGAATCGCCAGGGCATTCTGTAACTGGCAACGCCATCACCGGCATCGAACTTAGCCCAAAGTAGCTGCAGATCCCAAGACCTTTGCCCAAAATAAGGACAGTGGGAAACACGTAGCGTAGCCTGCGACTGTGGCCCGCTGAAACAGCTGTGACAGTTTCACGGTTTCAAGTTCTTGAGACCAAGCCCAATGCACTGCTTTGCAGGACATCCCATCATCGGTGAGTTTCGATTCCAGCTGTCTTGGCTTTGATGCGGAATGGTTGGTGGCATACATTGATAGGGATGGGCGATGATTCTGTTTCGGAGTGCTAAATCATTCCTACATAGTAACATCCTCCGAACAAAAAAAGTATGCGTATTTTAGCAGAATATTACTTGTCATTCTTTTTAGGTGGTTGCTATACTATACTTGAACTAAGTGTTCGGATGTGTTTTCTTGCCCAACCATCATGATTTTTAACAATCCAGCAGGATGCTGGGACTCCCACTGCCGAAAACAACTACAATTCTGACATTCCATTTGAGAAACCAAATGCTATATACTCTAAAAACGCATAGCAATTGCAAAAAAAAACATCAAAAGAACCATTCTATAGGTAATACTTTCTTGGCACATGTTTGTTCTATTCTTTTTGTATGTGACCATATCTGATATGTTTCATATGGCTATAAATTTGCTAGTGGTTGATGTTTGGGAAACATAAAACTAAAGGTTGATTTTTGGGTTGTTCTTTATTTCATGTCTTTATTTCTACTGGAATTACATAAGGAACCCCAAACAAATATCAAAAAATCAGAACTAGTTCCTATAGATTCCCCAAGTAGTGGATTTCCATTGGGAAAATTAAAGATAATCTTCAGCAAATCCCAGTATTTTGAGGCATGGAACATGTACCATTTACAACTGATTTACCGATTGAAAAAGGTGATTTTCTCTAGCCATCTTAAGCTCCCAAAAGGAACAATTATTTTATGGAGATGTCTTGTAGATAGTTCATGGGATATACCCTCTGGTAGACTAGCGTAACTATGGAAAATCACCATTTTCAATGGGTAAATCCACTATCAATGGCCATTTTCAATAGCTTTTTGTATGTTTACCAGAGGGCATAGCTATAGAAATCACCATTTTTAATAGGTAAAACCGTCTATAAATGGGCCATTTTCAATCGCTATTTTCACATAACCAGAGGGTATCTCAACGTATGTGCCAGGGACAAAACGTACGTGGCTGTGCCTCTTCATGGATTGATGTCATCAATCCCAACAATGTGAGGCCCCCCCAGTTATAAGTTGGTTTATACGCCCCAGTAAGTATAGTTATAAGTACCATAAACCATAGTTATTGGAGTTAAAAACCAACTTAGCTATCTTGTGGGCCTGACATTGAAGGACTGGGTAGATAAAATTCAAGTTCTGATTATAGGACTGGCAAGAAATATCCCAAGAAATATCCCCATTCTTATCTCAACAAATCACTTTTTTTTTACACATTAAATTTAACTACCCTCTGGTAATTTAACATAGCTATGGAAAATCACCATGATTAATGTGAAAATCCACTATAAATGGTCATTTTCAATAGCTATTTTGACATAACCAGAGAGTAACTTGACCATGGCATCATCTTAGTTCTCATTAAATCCCATTGATTCCCATGATTTCCTGAAAATTATTTCTTGATGAATATACCGCAATAAATCGTAACATTTACAGAGGTTAAATTTTACTCACCGCTTGGTGGTTTTAACATGTTTTAACATGTTTAAACATGTTTTAACCATCTTGAAAAATATGAGTCAGTTGGGATCATTATTCCCAACTGAATGGAAAAAATCAACATGTTCCAAACCACCAACCAGACGATGTTCGCTGATTATATCCCATGGCACATGTCGCTCCCAGCAATGAGACGAAGGTCATGGCACAGGTCGCTACAAGTTCCAACAACGGACCACTCCACAAAGCGGTCCAGAACACGTATGTGATGGTAAGATTCAATAGCTAAACATACTCTCTGGTAACTTAACATACGACCCTGCCAATTTGTGGGGTTGGAAGATTAGTGAAACCACTAAAGATGTGTGATTTCAGGATCGAACTGTTAATTTACCAGAGGGTAATGGATAAAGTAACATGGATATATGACAACTCAATAGCTATAAATATATATATATATATAATACATATCTATAGCTGATTCCAGTGGTCCAGTGACAAATCGCATGGATAAATCGACCCCGGAGCAAAATCGGCTGAAACTGCAACCAACTTCCACCACCAGCCCCTGCGGGTCCCCCATTTGGGTCACATTGCCATAGATCAACCATTGCTTGTCGCCTGGGCAGGCGGCAGTCATGCGATATATTTTTTCTTCGAATTTATTCAAGAAATGGTAACGTTTATGTTGTTAAAATTCAAACAGGAAAATTATGAACATATCTATCATCTAATATATTTTAGATAGGGAACACGATATTCGTAGATATGTATGTACCTTTAAATGTTTCCACTTTTAACATTGTACATGATTATCAACCTGTCAAGTTTTGAACCATGAAACGACACGAAGTGTTTGCCGACACTTCTTGGAGTTGCTGAAGGAACCCCACCAAAAAAACTATAGTTCCTAATATAGATTTCCCAAGTAGTGGATGCTCCATTGGAAAAAAAACTCATCTTCAGCAAATACAAGACTTCTTTACAACCGTTAGCAACTAGATCTGTTGGGGAGTGCACCTCACCAAACTAGCTATAGAAACAATTGGCCCACACGCACACACACACACCACATTTTAAATCAAACACGATGAATTTCCTAGTAAAAATAGGGATATCATAGGGATTTAAGTAAGAAACTCATGGGATATATATATATATATAGAGAGAGAACTCATGGGATATGTATATATATATATATGTAATAATAATAATAATAATATATATATATATATATATGTGATATATTATATATAATATATTTTATTCAATAGATTATATATTATATATTATATATAATATATTATACACACCTATATATATATTTATATACACATGATTTTTGGTGTGTCTGAACATGTGGCATACTCCAAGTTATAGCCATTCAATAGAGAAACTATATAGTGATTTTCAGCGTGGGACTTAGGGGTACTATTTTCAGAGAAACCCATGAATTAGCCATTACCATCTGTTTTTTTTTAACAGCCATGGAAAATGACCCATAGAAATAGATGGTTTACCTATTACAAATGGTGATTTTCCATGGCTATATTAAATAGCCAGAGGGTAACATACATCACCCAAAACAGCTTTGCGTACGAAAAAAACAAAAAAAACTCCAAGACTCAAGACTGGGCATTTTTTTGCGGGAATCAACATGCAGAAATCCAAACTATTTTAGGTTTCAAACTATTTTTAAGATGGAAGTGGCTACAAACCAGCAGATCCACGACTGAGGGTAGCAACCTGGGGTTGCCCGCTTTTTGGAATGGCACTTCCTACAAACGCCTCTGTCAAAAGGAGGCTTGCCTGGTAGATTGCAAACGGTCCTCCGTGCTGAAATCACAGCTGCTATATCTGCCCTGTGTTTTGCAGCCCTTAGCATCAAACCCATCAGAATCTGGACTGACAATAAGAACGTCTATGACATCTTAACCTTGTTGTGGACAGGAATGGAAGTTGAAGTTTCTCGGAAGCAGACAGAGACCTTTGGGACAGATTGCTTCATCAATGGAGGTTGTCCAAACATGCGGTTGCAGGAGTTTTCAAAGTACAAGCACATGCAGATCCAAATGCCCAGAATTGCCCGATCGAAACTTGGGCGGTCCAGGGCAACGATGCAGCAGATCGATGCGCATCTGAAGCGCGACACTTTTTGCCTCCTACCTTTTGGGCCTTGTGGGAACAGTATGCGGCAGAACTGCAGCAAATCAAACAAATGGGCGCAGCCCTTCATACCATGTACACAGACATTGCACACCATGCACAGACCAACCCACCATTGTGGACTCTGACCTCCTTCAACCAACGGGAGTCCATGTTACAGACATCGCAGAGGTGGATATCGAATTTTGCAATCTAGCGACTTTGCGATCCGATCAGCTGCCCAGGCGTTTTCAGATTGCAGTATCGCAAAAGATCCTGGAGTGGATAGCGGATGTCACTGATCAATCAACAGAAGCCATTTGGGTTTCCTTCCATCAGTTGCTCATTGACTTCCAAAGTTTTTCAGGCCATAATGGCCCTTGCAGTAATGGCCAAAACTGGACCAGCCTTGAACCAGACCACTACGATCATCCCCAAAGAGTGAAGTGGTATGCCCAATACCTTACCAACCTTTGCAAGACAATTTCATTCCCACCAGACATTCAACAACGACGACCACCAAGCAGTGTTTTAGCCTTTTGGTCAGGACATGTACAGGACATTGCCTCGATTCAAAAGGGCTGCATGGAATAGATGAACACCTGATCTTCACTCCGTTGTGCCAGGATGGGCTGACTCCGACCCGCCGAGCAGGAGCTTCGGTGGAAAGTGAGAGTCCGGGAGAGTTTTGATTCATTCCCAATTCCCATGAAAAAAACGGAAAAAACAACAACTCCCATACTGGGATCATACCTCCCCATAAAAATTGCTTGGTTTCATAGCTGCAGGCACCGTCTCTCCCAAGTTTGAGTTCTCAACCTACAAAGCGCAGCACGGTCTTCTGAAAGCACTCTTCGGTGATGTTTTCACCTTTCAACCGCGTCAGCCGAATAATAGGGGAGATCAAGAAACGCTGGGACAGAGTGGTGCAGCAGTTTTATGGTGCCTAAGTTAAGGTCATTGAAATAACTAACATTACAGCTGGGTTCATGATAGGTATATGATACCCTCTGGTAAACTAGCGTAACTATGGAAAATCATCATTTTCAATTGGTAAATCCACTATTTCTATGGCCATGTTCAATAGCTTTTTGTATGTTTACCAGAGGGCATAGCTATAGAAATCACCATTTTTAATAGGTAAACCATCTATAAATGGGCCATTTTCCATAGCTATGTTAGTTTACCAGAGGGTAGATTGAACTGACCTGTTGGCTTCCCACTTATGGCCATCAAACATCCCAAATTTTCACAGGGGTGTTGCGAGGCCCGCGAGCTTCGAGAGTTTCATCTTGGTTTGTAAAGTTTGAAGAACTATTGGTTTGAACAGTTATATCATATACTGGTTGGTGGTTCTAAGCATCTTAAAAAAAAATATGAAAGTCAATGGGAAGGATTATCCCATATATGAAATGAACAATAAACAAATCCAAACCACCAACCATGTATATATAGCATAATATAAGTTAATTAGATCTATATACGGTTCCAGGTTTTGCATTGTGGCCAATAAGGCCTGTATTTGACTCAGGCTGTATTTGGCGCTGACAGTTTCGTGATGGAATTCAGCTGCCAGTTGGGAGAGATCTGAGGAAGTGGCCTTGGAAAGATCAAGGTGCTGTTGCACCTTCTCTAAGGCAGATTTCGTCAAACTGAACCCCTCAGTGACCTTGCTTAAAAGCTGGCGGATTTCATCTTCCAACTCCACCCTGGGTCGTTTGTTGAGTGGTTCATTTTCTCCCTCTGCATTGATCTCTGTGCGTTTACCCTCCTCTGTCTCTACGGGAGAGTCTCTTTCCCCTGCATAAGCTGGCTCCTTTGCCTCAACTCCTAAGTTCCCGGTCTCCACACTTGGCGCTGCAGGCACGCCCTCTGGTACGGCTGGTACTTCCTGTCCGGCCACAGTTGCCCCAGGAACAGCATGGCACCACCAACTCCTTCTGCAAATATGGAGTCCCATTGTTTTTAATGGTTTATCATCAGATTCCCAATCTAACAATGCCATAAAACTTGGATCTCCTCAAGACAGTCTTTAATTTAATAAACCTTGACACTTCGATTGTCGATGTGCGACTCCAGGATCTGACATGAGCGAACTTGTATCATCTTGTATCTCCGTAAGCACCCAGGGTGAAGCCCAGAAATACAAAATCTGGATAGGAAAAGAATAAATCACTGTAAACTATACTTGGTGCTTCATCCCTCGTAAGTGGGTTCGTTCACCCTAGGATAAAAAAAAGTGGAGTCACCCTACTTGTTCCATTTATTCCGATAACTAATGTCAACCCTGGATGAATAAACCCCGTTTACGGCTGTTTAATTGGGAAGGTACCATCAAAAAGTATCATTCATCATGACGAAATAGGGGGAATACCCCCCTCTAATTAATAAACCACCTGGACCTTCCAAAATACAATCTATGTTGAACTATTTGAATTACTAATCTAGAGACCATGGTTTATTGATACCACCTGAACCACGATCGGATCATGGCTCTGGTGAACATAGCTATGGCTATGGATAATCACCATGTTTGACAAGTAATTCATGGGAAAACATCTATTCATGGGCCATCTATTACCATAGCTATGTTCAATCACGGAGAACAACGTTACTTTCCAACTGTCAATTCCAATAAATCCACATTCAAATCCAACATGGAGGCTTCCTGAAAAGGTGTACTGTTACCCTCTGGTAATTTAACATAGCTATGGAAAATCATCATTTTCAATGGGTAAATCAACTATAAATGACCATTTTCAAAAGCTTTTTGTATGTTTACCACAGGGTAGTTCTCATCCAGACGTCTGGATTTTCCATGAAACACCAACATTTTTCAGCGAACCCAGCGAACTTAAGGGGATCCCAAAACCAAAGTGGGGCCCCCCAGTTATGTTTGTTGGTTTAGATTCGCCCCAGTAACTCGTTCGTTTTAAGTACCATAAACCATCGTGAAATTGGAGTTATGTTCACCAATTTAGCTGTCGTTTGGGGGGCCTCGTATGATAATTATACTAAGACATTGGGTACTAATCCCATCACCCTCATGTTAAACATCCCAATGTATAGTCCCAATGATGTGGAAGTCTTCATCCCATCCGCCTTTGGGGCACAGGCGGTAGGAGTATCCACCGCCATGGTTGGCCGTGATGGCCCATGCCACTTCCTGCGTGGAGCCTTTTGGCCACACCGTGGGAGACTTCGCCGGCAGCTCCAGGCCGTTGACGCCTGGCCGCAACGCGCAACGGGGGAAACGCATGTTTTTGTTGAAGGGATTCTGGGGCAGAGATTCGTGGAAATTTACATGGATTAATGGAATATATATATATAAAAAAATGGATTGATGAATATGTATGTAATGTAATGTAATGCAATGTAATGTAACGTAACGTAATGTAACGTAACGTAATGTAATGTAATGTAATGTAACGTAATGTAATGTAATGTAGTGTAACGTAATGTGATGTAATGTAATGTAATGCAATGTAATGTAACGTAACGTAATGTAACGTAACGTAATGTAATGTAATGTAATGTAACGTAATGTAATGTAATGTAGTGTAACGTAATGTGATGTAATGTAATGTAATGCAATGTAATGTAACGTAACGTAATGTAACGTAATGTAACGTAATGTAATGTAACGTAACGTAATGTAATGTAACGTAATGTAATGTAATGTAATGCAATGTAATGTAATGTAATGCAATGTAATGTAATGCAATGTAATGTAACGTAACGTAATGTAACGTAACGTAATGTAATGTAATGTAACGTAATGTAATGTAATGTAGTGTAACGTAATGTGATGTAATGTAATGTAATGCAATGTAATGTAACGTAACGTAATGTAACGTAACGTAATGTAATGTAATGTAATGTAACGTAATGTAATGTAGTGTAACGTAATGTGATGTAATGTAATGTAATGCAATGTAATGTAACGTAACGTAATGTAACGTAACGTAATGTAATGTAATGTAACGTAACGTAATGTAATGTAACGTAATGTAATGTAATGTAATGCAATGTAATGTAATGCAATGTAATGTAACGTAACGTAATGTAACGTAATGTAATGTAATGTAACGTAATGTAATGTAATGTAGTGTAACGTAATGTAATGTGATGTAATGTAATGTAATGTAACGTAATGTAATGTAATGTAGTGTAACGTAATGTGATGTAATGTAGTGTAATGCAATGTAATGTAACGTAATGTAACGTAATGTAACGTAACGTAATGTAATGTAACGTAACGTAATGTAATGTAACGTAATGTAATGTAATGCAATGTAATGTAATGTAATGCAATGTAATGTAACGTAACGTAATGTAACGTAACGTAATGTAATGTAATGTAACGTAATGTAATGTAGTGTAACGTAATGTAATGTGATGTAATGTAATGTAATGTAACGTAATGTAATGTAATGTAGTGTAACGTAATGTGATGTAATGTAATGTAATGCAATGTAATGTAACGTAACGTAATGTAACGTAATGTAATGTAATGTAACGTAACGTAATGTAATGTAACGTAATGTAATGTAATGTAATGCAATGTAATGTAATGCAATGTAATGTAACGCAACGTAATGTAACGTAACGTAATGTAATGTAACGTAATGTAATGTAATGTAACGTAACGTAACGTAATGTAACGTAATCTAATGTAATGCAATGTAATGTAACGTAATGTAACGTAATGTAACGTAACGTAATGTAATGTAATGTAACGTAATGTAACGTAATGTAATGTAACGTAATGTAACGTAATGTAATGTAATGTAACGTAACGTAATGTAACGTAATGTAATGTAATGTAATGTAACGTAATGTAATGTAATGTAGTGTAACGTAATGTGATGTAATGTAATGTAATGCAATGTAATGTAACGTAATGTAACGTAACATAACGTAATGTAATGTAATGTAATGCAATGTAATGTAACGTAATGTAATGTAATGTAACGTAACGTAATGTAATGTAATGTAACGTAATGTAATGTAACGTAATGTAATGTAATGTAATGTAACGTAATGTAATGTAACGTAACGTAATGTAATGTAATGTAATGTAACGTAATGTAACGTAATGTGATGTAATGTAATGTAATGTAACCTAATGTAACGTAACGTAATGTGATGTAATGTAATGTAACGTAATGTAATGTAATGTAGTGTAACGTAATGTGATGTAATGTAATGTAATGTAACCTAATGTAACGTAACGTAATGTGATGTAATGTAATGTAATGTAACGTAATGTAATGTAACGTAATGTAATGTAATGTAATGTAATGTATGTATGTGTATGTGTATATGTATATATATATATATGCATAATTACTGGATTATGATGGAATATACTGGGATATACTAGGGACATGGAGGGATATACATACGTGGATATGTAACCAATTGGGACAAATCACAATCTGGAACCTGAAAAGTTGGGCCATTGTCGGATGATATCCCACCATCATTGCAGTGAGGGAGAATAGTGAGATCGTTATAATTTACCCAGAGGATGTTCAAGCGGAAATGATTTGACATGTGGATTTTGACATGGTTTATATGCACATAATTTGCATAACCCCGTGGAAGTTTACCGGGTCCGGTTGGGGCCTGTGATTTTCTACTAGAAAATGAATGTTGTATAAATTCGGGACCCAAGAAAATCTAGCTACAGACATCAAACCAATTCGAGCTACCCTAGAAAAATGGCACCCCCCAAGAAGTGCATTTTCGAAGCTATGGACCGTATTTTTTCTTAGAAAAACATCACCCTGCTTGAATGGTATAATGTTGAAAATCGAAATCAAAATTTTGAAAACAACTTCCAGGGAATGGTTCCATTTTTCTAGAGACCAACATCCAACCCATCGAATTTTTCGAATTATTCGAATTTCATCGAAATTCCATCCGATTCTAATGTAATAATAATCATCATCATCATTATTATCACCAATCCTGTCCTGACTGTGATTTTTGGTGGTCGATTTGGCTCATTGCCGCGCATTCCCCGAGACGGCTGCAATGAAATGCAGCGAGATGCGGCAAGTGTTGCAAACTTGGACAGGAGAGAGATGGGATTAGATTTATATTAGATTTTAAGATATTTTAAGCATGTTTAAACAAAACAAAATGACCTACCAGTGCCCCTCTAGAAAATCAGGGACCACTAGAAAATCTAGGGACGTCCTCCCAGAGATGCTAAAATTATGCTCCTGGATTTTGGGCACTTAAGCTACACAGAAAATCAGGGTCTCCCGACTCAGAGGTCTCCAAAAGTTGTTCTGTAGAAAATGAGGGGGTTGATAAAAGCAGCCTTTCATCAAAATCGAAGAATTTTCGCGCCAGAAAATCAGTCCTTCTTAGGGGGGTTGACCTCCCTGAAATCCTAGAGGAAACTCCAACCCCGTTATTTGCATAAACTCAGGGATTTTGTTAGAACACGGACAAGCTGGGGGAATCTCGACCACAACAATGCAGGAACGTGTTGTTTTATTCCAGAAGAAGGGTGGAATATGAATAACAGAAATGTGCTCTTTTGTTTTTATGATATTTTCAAAGATGACTGAGGGTTTGGCAAACATATGGATTGACAAAATTTTGCCGGCCGGATTTGCCGCAGTATCTGCAAATCACTGTCGCGGAGCGCTGTCCACACTTCGGCGCCATCGGACTTTTTTAAAGATGATTTGCTCGTATGATCTGTAACCTTGCGCCAACATCAAAAACAGAGCTATGGTATAGATATAGATGGCCCATTTACTATTTGTATATAGGTATATATAGACGGTATAGATATAGTTAGCCTATTGACTCAACACAGCTATGGTATAGACGGCCCATTTAGTCCGATGCTTCAGATGAGTTGACATATGGTTTTTCAGTGAATATGTTCCATAGCAAGCTGTGAAAATACCGGAGGGTAACCCCTCTGGAAGTGGGCTGTGCTGACAAAATTGAACCAATAATGGTTCACCCCACAAATCTACCCTCTGGTAAACTAACATAACTATGGAAAATCACCATTTTCAATGGGTAAATCCACTATCAATGGCCATGTTCAATAGCTATGTTAAATTACCAGAGGTTCTAGACCCTACAGGAACGAGTCTCCAGTCATAGGTTGGCTATTTGGTTCTTGCTGCCCCATCTATAGATATGTCACGATATATCCGCCATAATCCATCCGTTCGCCTATCATATCCCTTCCCCCGTTCGTAAACCACACCCAAACACTCGGTGTAGCATTTTTCAGACGCATGGTTACTTGGTTGAGAAATAGAATTAATTAATATGAATTAATCACAAAGAATACAATCTATTCTAAGAAACACCTAAGCTACAGAAACGCATTTGCAACCTATATACCCATCATTACCCATCACCTAACAGGTGTACTACAATGATAGTATTGGCAATAGCTTATGGCACACCACCGAATCAACTGGTTTCAACTGGTGTTTCTCATCATTTTCCCTACCCATGACGGATCCATGGTGCTGCTATATATGGTGTGCCATGGATCCCATCAATATACCCCCTTTATGTTAGCATATATACCAGCCCCATGGATCCGTCATGGGCTATTATATAGAATAACTCACTGTTTGGGGTATAGTTACCATTTTGCAGACAAACCTGCATGGACTGTAGGTAATTTTCAGTAAATGAGCAGTCTTTTTTCAAGCCCGCAACGTTGTCCCGTTTGATCCTGGTTGGTTGCGAACAGGATTCCCACAATGGATTACAATGTGGGGTCCCACAGTTATAAGTTGGTTTATAAGCCCCAGCAACTACTTTGTTTTAAGTACCATAAACATCATAAACCATAGTTATTGGAGATGTGTTCACCAACTTAGCTATCGTGGCCGGGGGCCTTGTATGATAATTATAATTACTAAGACATTGGGTAGTAATCCCATCACCCTAATGTTAAACATCCCAATTTATGGTCCCAATGTGGAAAGTCTCAAACCATGATTTCCAAGGGGGTGCTTAATATTACGGGGAAGGGATTATAATGATTATTATTCTGTATAATCCGCAACCAAGCGGGGCCATGAAAACTGCTCATGTTGGCTTTTGACCTTTGTGTTAGCAAAAATATCTGTGTTGCCCGTGTTGGACCATAATTCACAGCAAATCAGTACTCTGCAAACAAATAAAAATTGTATTGATCAGTTCCAATTTGTTTTATCCCTAGACCAAGATAAAATACTAAAATTATGAGGTAACATACCAATCTGTATAGGTACTCGGAGGATCTAGGATTTTCCAATCTAATGTTTCTTTTTTAAATCACATTCTTGCTCGGTCTGAAAAATCATTCATTCAGCGCAGAGTTTTCGAGAATATTGATCTGTTGGTTGATCCAACTTTGTGTAATTAAACGTGTTGTTGTTTGAATCCCAACTTGTGTTGATTTGATCGCAATTTCTTTTGGTAAAATCGATATCAATAATGTCCTTTTGGTAAAAATAGAGGGGCCGGTTTGGTATACCATCATCATTTCCCTGTTAAAGGGGTAAACAAATCAAACCCCTCTTTTTTCATCAACCAACCAATGGGAATTTGGGACATCTATGGTTGATATCAACTTCACATCGAAATCCCCAGTTTTGCTGAACAAATCCCATGTTCCTCGATGAAATCACCATTTTTCCCATGGTTTCCTTCACGTTCACGGGGGACACGGGGGACTCCGGGGACACTGTGCTGGTTTCCCGCACCTGGTGGGAAGAATCCTTGCAAGCGACCGGAAGAGCCCAGCACAAAATCCTGAAGTTTCTGTGGGGCAAAAAACCGAACCATTATCTGTGGAGATTGTTCATGGGATATTATGGGAAGTATGTTTGTGTATATATATATATATTGATATTGATATAATAAATATACATATATATATATTGATATTGATATAATAAATATACATATATATATATGCATGTATATATATAATGTTATATATATATACACGTTACAAATATATATATATATATATAGTAATCCGTAATGCAAGATGTTTAAGACTCTATTTACTGTGGGACCCATGTGCAAAACACGAGACTTGTATGAAATAAACTATTTAATGTTCAAACTGTTTGTTTTGCTTGTACAAATCAACATCGTAACTGCAAAACAACATGTTACAACATCATAATGTGAAAAAAATATGTGAGAATAAGCCAACAAACAACTCCAAAACAAACACAACTTTGAACCTTGAACAAGTTCCCCGAAACACTTGGGCAGTGTTCAAAACCCTTGTTGGTTGATGATTGATTTGGGGATTGTACTAATTACCCTTTATATATTGGGGATTATAATACCTCACTATACTTGGTGGCTCATCCCACGAATCGTGGGTTGTAACCATGGTTTTGTTAATGGGATAGAGCAAAATCCACTGAACAAACTAGGGTGTTATGGAGAACAGTAAGGTCGTTAGAATTTACCTATTGATTCCCATAAAATTCCATGAAATCCCATGACATCCCATTTACCAAAGGGTTCCCCCACCAAGTAATGTCAAGCCCGGATTAATAAAGCATGGTTTATTAATTAGGCGGGGTACTCCTCCAATAGTCATAATCTATGGTTTATAAATCCAGGGTCACCACCACAAGGTTGTACCCCCTAGTTATAAATTGCTTTATAAATCCCATTAACTAGTTCGATATATCAACAACAAAAACCATAGTGAGATTTGAGATATATCTTCATAAAGTATAGATATATCTACCATAAACCATAATGAAATTGGAGTTTTGTGAACCCCAACTTAGCGATTCCAAACTGGGGCACCACCTCGCACCGTTTCTGACAATCGCAGCCACGGCCTCGCGGCCACCATAGACTCCACAGCCAGAGCCGAAGACTTTGGCCGTGCCGGGCGCCCGCCAGGGGTTCTTGCGGGACCAATCGCCAGGTCCTGCGGATGTAGACCTTTTCAAAGAGAAAACAAACATTAAAGTTGGATTAAGATAGGGTAAAAGTAGTACATATGGTAATTATATGGTAATTATAGCAGTAAAATCTGAAGACTTGGGAAATTTATACCAATTTTGTGTAAAAAATGGATGGAATCATGACAAGCTACTGGGATTTAAGCTTCAACGTAGGGATTTTTTGCCATGAAACATGGCAGGATCCAACCAACACACATGACATTCAACCGAAGGATGTGAATCATCCGATTAATGTAGGTTATGGTTGGGAAATATCTATGAATAATGAGCTTATGTATGAGTGTATGAGATGGGGTAAAAACCAATCTACACGTGGTTCGAAGATGTTTCAACTAAGCATTGGACTTTCTTCACCGTTTCGAAACAAATGCAAATCTATCAAGGGTTGCATATAACCCTAGCAAACTATGGCTTTGAAACTGCTCAATTTGCCTCGTTTCTTTTTTGGATTTGACCTTGCCACTTGTCTTTTCCGCAATGGATTGGTGGCAAACGGAGAGTCATTTTGCAAAATAGGCCAAGGGGTCTAAGAATCTAAGAATGTGCGTAAAAATGTGAAATGACATGCCACGATGGGTCTCTTCAAATTATGTCTTAAAAAAAGGGTCTAGAGGTTCCTTTCTATTTCATCTGCATAGCCATGCTGTGTCTTGTAAAGATGAGGAGCACATTGGCAACCATCCACCAGAGTGATCATTGAGTAGTGGTATGGTGGAACTTCGGTCTCGACCATCAACCTGAACTTCAGCAAGCAGATGTCATCCGCTGTCATCCCCGGACGAGGGTACAGGGGAAACATTTCTTTGCTGATAGTCGATTTCGTTGCTGATGCTTCTGCCTGAGCCGTAAGAAATGGGAAATGCGAAATGGGCCATTTCCGACAACTCTCTTTGTCCGGGAAAAATGACAGAGTCAATGGGTGACTCAATGCCAGCTATAGAATCTTCAAGACTAAGCGGTGAGTTTCCTCCTTCACTCCTTGGCCATTTGTTGCTCTCCACTTGGTTTTTGTTCTTGAACTGCAGAGATTCTACCATGCCATCCAACACATCTGGAATGTTGTGCCGGACAATCTCACTTGTATAGTCATCCTATCCCCCAAAATTATATACATACCACCACTAAATTCCCAAATAGATATATATATATTATTATATATATATATTATTATATAGACATATATAAATCTATATTTATATATAAATAAATAAATATAAATATATATATATATATATTTATATATATATAGTAAAACCATGATTTCTGGGTGGGAGTAGCTACTCAGAGGGGACTCAAGAAGCTGGGCCTGGAATAGCTTTTTGTTGTTTTATCACTACTTGGTGGCTCATCCCACTTGATAACCCTAGTTGTAACCGGGCTAACCTACTTATCATCTTATCCGACTTATAACCAGGAATATAACCTACTCAGTGAGTGGGATGAGCCAACAGGTAGGCTTACACATCGGTTTATGAATGTTTGTACCGGAGATATCTACAGCTGGATGGCTTTGTGAGTCAACTTGCAACTGGGGGCCCCAACGGGCCCCCACCTTACACCAAAAAAATGCAACAAATTGGCCAAATGGAATGAACAAACAAGAAACTTAGTAGCCCTGTTCAACCCACAAATCTACTAGACTCCACAGAAACGGGCCCCCCACTCATAGGTTGATAGCCAGTTTGTAGCCACATCTATAGATCTGTCATGATATATCCGCCACAAATCCATCTGTTGGCCTATCATATACCTCCCTTCGCTCGTCAGACACACGGTGTTTTACAGTTATATATACATATATATATATATATATACATCTTTATACGCACCGTTGAGAAACAGGATTGATCACAAACAAAGAATCCTGGTAAAAATATCGGCAATACTGAATAAGCTGGTCTGAGAACAGCGCCTGAATCCACTGATAGATATTAATGATGATATTTGTTCCAAAAGAATGACACTCTTTTGGGTATACCCTCTGGTAAACTAACATAACTATGGAAAATCAACATTTTCTAGCTAGGTAAATCCACTATAAATCAATTTTCAATAGCTATGTTAAGTTCCTATATCATGATCTATAGTTCCTATTAGTGTCATTCTATTTTCCTATATTATATAATATATTTCATTTTTGGTGTGTCCCCTTATAGATATACTCCCTGTTTTCAGACACACCGACACACCGGACAGCAGAGTTATCCTGGCTGGGTTGGTTGAGAACAGGATTCCCCAAACAATGGTGAACGTGATATTTCCATCCCCCGACTACTCATCAACCAACCATCATTTGTCAATAATTTCTCTATAGCTTTATATAGATAGATATATATATATATATGTATATAAACAAACAAAACAAAACTATAATTGATCATTAAAAACACCTATCATTGATATTTATATCATTAAAACAACTATCATTGATATTTATATCATTGATCATTAAAAACAACTATTATTGATATCAAACCCCATTTCAACCATCTAAAACTCCCATGAAAATCCTAGTAAATCATCAACCCCAACGGGGAACAAATCCCCCAAATTGCCCATGGCTTGACCCGTTGATCTGTCCTGTGGACACCTTGACGTTGAAAGTCCGGAATTCTTCGTCGTTCACCTGGGTTTTCTTCATGTTTTTCTCATGGTAGGGGAATTCCTCAAGGGACTTATCAATTTGTGTTTATTGATGTTTATTGTTTCTGGCTTACTGGGAAGAGATCTGGCACATAAGTCCGTTTGTTTCCTTTCTGGGCGATTCCTCTTCCTAAACGTACTAACCATCATTCATGCATGGGTCTATATTATACACAATTATATTTACATACATAGATCGACCCAAAATGAACCGACCCTAAACTTCCGAAACCAGAAGCCAGAAGGGCCAGAAGGAAGCACAATTTGAGATAATTCCTCCAATTCTAAGCACCATCTTGAATCTACAGTGAAGTCGGACTTAGATTCTGGGAAAAGATCAGCCATTATAAGCCTATTCATACAATCTACAACCCGTGGAGCATTGTAATCCGTCTTGTCTAAAAAGGGTCAACAGAAATCTTTTTGGGGGGGTTTCCCACTCAATAGCGGAGAGTGCTTTGATCGCTCGATAATCCAATTCTTCTCATGGATTCCCAGGTGAGTGTCTTCTGTATTTCGTCACACTGTTACTGGTTGGTGGTTTCAACCCTACCCCTCTGAAAAATGATGGAGTGAAAGTCACTTGGGATGATGACATTCCCAACTGAATGGAAAAATAATTAATAATCCAAATGTTCCAAACCACCAATCAGTGCTTCTTTATTGCAAATCCATTCGTTTGTATTTAGTTGTATTGTTCAAAATTCATAAATGTGTTGATATTTCTCTATTTCGTATCCGCGTGCTTCAGGGTCTTCTGATTGTGACCCGACGCCGAAGCGGCGTGGAACATTTTAGGGTCGGCTGCTCCGTTACAACGGATTCCAATTTGTTGGTGATATGATATCGCAACCAATACCCTCTGGTAAACTAAAATAGCTAGTGAAAATGGCCGTTTAGAGTTGATTTACATATCAAAAGTTGTGATTTTCCATAGTTTTGTGTATGTTTACCAGCGGGTAAATGATCAATATGCATTGGGCGCATTTTCCTCACAAATGTGAGTCAATCCAGCCCAAAATGATTTGCCTTTCAGATCCGAAGAATCACTGGGAGGCCTTCCATCAATTTCACGCAATGCACATGTCTTAGCTCCAAGTTCCCTGCCGTGCCCGCCCCCTTTCTGCACAAGCTATTGCTTCCCAGTTAAAAATTATAAAGCATTCCACTTAGTAAACGGGCTATACCCCCACTTGAATAAGGAATATCACCACTTATATGTGGCCTTAAATGGTTTATATATATATATAAGTAAATAATAATAAAAAATAATAATAATTCACTAACATGAAATAAGGCAATTTTGGTGTATTTATCCCTTATGAATCATGATTCCAGTGAGGGAGAACAGTGAGGTTTACTCGGATATATATATATATATACATATTATGATATATATATATAGATGGATCTAAACCACGGATCCTAAGTGAGATGCATATCCTATAGCAGTGTATCGCGTAAAAACTAACTGATTTTTCTTTTAAAACCAATAATTTCGAGCTGGGGCACCTTGGTCTAAACCCGCAGTTGCTTAACAACTTGATTCTGAATGAGAATGGCACTGAGAATCTCAGGGAAAAAAAACAAAGGAGGTCGGTAGTATAAGAGCCATATTTATAACCAACAGAATGCATTTATCAATGATATTAGCCCATTTTTGGGCTGCAGCCCAAATATGGTGATGAAAACAAACCATCCCTCATCAGGTCCAGTTTCGAAACCGGCCCAGGCCAGGGGAAACACATTCCAATTTGGGGCCGCAGGCCACGAAATCGCACAGTTGGGGTTCACATAACAACCGTTTTAAAACTAGGGGGCCCCACCTGGTAACAACCATAATCATCAACAATAAGAATTTCACGGGACTTAATGGCGTTTAAGGGATCGTTTGGGGACGATTCCCTTACCAATAACAATTCTAGAAACGCCACGACGTGTGGCTAGGTTGACTTCTTTGCCTTGGTGAAGTTGGGTTTATGGAGGATATAACTATAAGTATTCATGGGGGTTATAAACCAACAAAATAATGGGGGGCAGCTTGTGATAACACAGAAGTGCTGTAGTGCTGTGGAACTGTATACATTCGATTATATCATTAATGCAATGAATCAAATATTGGTTAGATCTCCAGATCCCTCATACCAATTTTACAATCCACACATCGTTCATCCCATCAACGGTTCCCAACATCACCATAAAAATCCCCATGTTTGTTGGTCACAACTATTCTGGTTGGTGGTATACCTACCCCTCTGAAAAATATGCGAAAGTCAGTTGGGATGATGAAATTCCCAATAGATGGGAAGTCATAAAAACCATGTTCCAAACCACCAACCAGATATATTGTTATTCCAATTATTAACCATTATTAACCATAGATGAACCATAGATTAACCATAGGTTAACCATAGATTAACCATAGATTAACCATAGATTAACCATAGATTAACCCATAATCACATTATTCCAATATGCAGTCGCTTAGAATCACCGTTGCCATCGGTTAAACCAACAAATATCCACACGGAATCAACATGTTTGAATTATGTTAAATCGAATTGGCAGCTTAGATCACCATGGCCATTGGTGAAATCCCTCAATGGATTGGTATAAAAGGGAAAAATTACAGGAAACAACCATGTTTGAATCATATTTCATAGGAAAATCGATGATCGATGGTTTCCGGTGAAGATTTTCCTTTAAGCCCATCTGGTTGGTGGTTTCAACCCTACCCCTCTGAAAAATGATGGAGTTCGTCAGCTGGGATGATGAAATTCCCAACTGGAAAGTCATAGTCCACATTGAATCCAAACCACCAGTAAATAAATTCTACAATCAACTAGCCATCCAGCTGGTTGACCCAGGAAACAACAAGAAATCAATGGCTTCCCCATGTAGGTTTCCTATCAATAGGAACATCATCTATAGAAAATAAACCCATGTCACAGGAAAATCTATGGTTTCCTGAGATTTCCTAAGCCCTGCCACAAAAGCGCGAGGCGCTGTGGCTTCGCCGGGGATGGTCACGAAGTCGCTATACCTTCGAGTCTTCGAGGCGAGGCTCGTGGGAGATTTCCATAGGTTTTTCTACCCTTGGGACCATAAATTGGGGTGTTTAATGGGACTTTATAGTGGTTTAATGAGACTTCAACATGTGATTTCATGGATTATGAATGGGATATACCCTCTGGTAAACATAGAAAAAGCTATTCAAAATGGTGATTTATAGTGGATTTACCCATTAAAAATGGTGATTTTCCATATGCCATGAGCAGTTTTCATGGCCTCGCTTGGTTGAGGATTATACAGAATAATAATCATTATAATTCCTTCCCCCTAATCTTAAACACCCCCCCTTAGAAACCATGGTTTGAGACTTTCCACATTGGGACCATAAATTGGGATGTTTAATATTAGGGTGATGGGATTATTACCCAATGTCTTAGTAATTATCATACAATGTGAGGCCCCCGTTCAATAGCTAAGTTGGGGTTCACTGAACTCCAATTTCACTATGGTTTATGGTACGCAAATAACGAACTAGTTACTGGGGCTTATAAAGCAACAAACATAATTGGGGGGGCCTCGCATTGTACCATTGGTTGTAATAATATCCCTCAAAAGAACAAGGTAGCTTCATACCAGCGATCAAAACAAATATGATATCTTTGGTTGGTTATGGTGGGTCTCCCTTGAAAAAAATCAAACCTAAAGAAAATATTATCCTTCAGGGTAAATATTGTGGTACTGTATCTTTCAGGGTTTGGTAAATTTAAATTGGTATAATACAAAGCCCAGAACCAGAACTTGGTAAAGTGGCACTATTGTTTTAAAAATACCAAGTGTTTTTTTTCCCAGCAGCACTGTGGGTTTTTTGTTTTCTGTGCTGCTACTGTACCGCCTCCTCTGTTGGCGGTTCCAAAGCGTAGACAGACCCAACCCCCCACTACAAAATGTCTGGAACCTCCTTACAAGATGGTTATGGGACAAATATCCAGGAAATTTGAGCCCAAACCATTTCAAAAGTAAACATTCCAAACATGTCTCCAAACCCAGTTTGTAGACTCCTTCTCACCAAAAACCATTCTGTAAACCCAAACCCTTCTTTTAGACTATCCAGTTTCATTAACCAAAACCATTTTGTAGACCGCCTCTCAGCTTTCAAGAAACAACGGAGATTTAAAGGATTTAAAGGTATAAGCCAACAATAGGGACTTAGTAAAAGAATATCAATGAATAATGACTGTTGATGGATCAATTGTTGGGTCAACTCTGCACGATTTAGTGCATGTAAGATCACATTTTTGTTCGAGAACCCGCGATGGTGATGGCGGTTTGAATCCCAACTTCCCATTTCTCAAGGGGCAGAATTTAGGGCAACCATCAGTGACATGTAAAAAAGCTGGGATGCACGCCAGTGAGATCAATCAGCCATGGGGAGTCCCATATCCCAACTGATGGTGGTTAAAATCCCAAGGTTCTACTGTTGTACCTTTTTTTTTTCCTCAACTGCACCCCCAGGTCATCAACAATGGGGATTTAGCCAAGTAATATGGTTATATTCCATGAGATATCATGGAACATATGGTATAATCAACAAACATCAACAAACAAAATTTAAGCAATGGGATACCTGGATACCTCTCCACTTTTCAACATTTTGTGGAATCCCACAAGGAGGTGCCCCCAAGATAGCTAAGTTGGTAAACATAACTCAAATTTCACTATGGTTTATGGTAGATATACCTATACTATCCTATACTTGATGGGGTTTATAAACCAACATTCACATCGTGTTTGGGGGCCCCACATTTTAACTATATCCCTCTAATCAAGACTAGTTCACCAACTTAACCAACTATACCCCCAGTAACTATAGCAATATCCCAGTTAATCAACTATAGTTTATAATAAACCTGTGGTTTATGGTAGATATACCTATACTTAATGGGGCTTATAAACCAACAAACATAATGTTTGGGGGCCCCACATTTTAACAGATCCCAGCCAACCGAATACACCGAAGCGTTTGGCATCGAGGTACCACACGCAATCGTCCCATGCGCAGGCACCCGCGTTGGCCATGCTGCCGTTCCTGGGGCGACGAGTGCGTTTTGGGTGATGTGGTGAGCTTTGGAACGGGAACCAAAAAACCATAGCGTTTTAAGCAACAAACACGGGATATCAATGGATATCATTGTATTTCCATATATACATAGATCTGGAATGTCATGGTTGGATGGGAATATATATATATATATATATTAATAAATATTTAGAGTGGTTGAACGGTACAACCAACGAAGTAACTGTTGGTTATACGCTCCGAAAACGCATTGTATAATATGGATTTAATCGGCAAAAACAACCGGATGCAACGGGGACATACATAATACCATGTTTTTTTGGGGGGGGTTCAATAGTTGAATGGGAAAGGGTCCAATAAAACCAAAACATATAACCAACTAATGAATAAAGATCGAATATGGGTTTTCATGGGGGTATGCATCCAAACATGTAGGGGATATGGCATGGATGTGGCTACAAGTTTGGTACCTGAACAACTTTGAGACATGGCAACCATCCTCTGGTTGCATTTCAGTTTACCTCTTCAAGTTGTCATGTGGGGGGTGCCCCACTTTCAGATACACCCAGATCAATGCACATGTCACATGAATCCATATCTACAATGTCTTGCACTGGTCACTTGGAAATAAAACATACCCTCTGGTTATTTAACATAGCCATGGAAAATGGCCCATTTATAGATGGTTTACCTATTAACAATTGTGATTTTCCACGGCAAACTGTTAAATAACCAGATGGTAAATGAGTCAGACTCCGCGCGACACCCGATATCCATCCGTGAAAAATAGATGTCCATCCCCAACCGATCATCGAATTGCACCGATTCGCAGATCAAAAATATAATTCCATGATCGAGACTCCAATAACTATATGGTGTATGGTACTTATAACTACAGTTGCTGGGGCTTATAAACCAACTTGTAACTGGGGGGGGGTCACATTGTGGCATAAGTTATATGGTTCTTTCAGTTCAGGAGAATTGGTCATGCAATGGTGGTTCTACCCTGCTTACCCCCCAATGTTTGGCTTCTGGCCCGAGCATCTGCCGGTTGGGTGGCCAGGTGAGCACACCATGTCCATTCGCCAAGTGCGAGAGGCTGACGCAAAGAGCGAGCACGGCGAACATGGTCTCAGCCACTTGGAACAGGAGAATTCATCAATGTGGAGGTGGATGTACCAACCAACGAGATTTCTTTAAGCAGCAAAGGTGTAGATTTCACTTCACCAGCAATTCGATTGGATAAACAAATCCAGTAAACATTGGATTTAACCAGCACATATGTTACCAGTAAGAAATGGTGGTTTTAGCAAGCAACATGGTGGTTTACCAACAAGATCTGTAGGTTTAGCAGAAACAACTCTTGTTTTATTACTCTCTGACACCGCGGCTTTTATCGACGGTGGGATAAAATGATATGCCAAGCCGATGTGAATCTATCCCGTTATCAAAAGGGTTGGGTTAGGGCTGGGGTTGGAGGATGGGTCAAAAACATCCTGCCTATGTTATCCCGAAGCTATAGTCGTTCTGATGGGTAGAGGTATCGTTCCGTCAGAGTCCTTTTCTTTAGCTTCGTTGGAAATTTATTGGAGCAGGCTGAGGCCCAGAAGGCGCAGCTTCCTCTTCAGTGCCAACTGCTGAATATCAGCCAGCTGGGGCTGAGCCTCAGCCCTCAACTTGATGGTCCTCTCCCTCTGATGCAGTTTGAGGTCCACAGTGTCAAATTCTTATCACGCGGAAATCTTTTTTGGCATCCTCCCTCCCTCCCTCTGCCAAAACAGCTGCCGCTTTGCCTACGCATTTCTGACATCATTCTGACACCCTTGCTCCTCTGGTCGCAGCAATATCATTGCGTGGTAGTTCCCGTCCTGCAAATGCGGCATGCTGGGTAGAGGACATGCTGAGTTTCCAGGCCCAGAGTCCTCTATGAACTTGAGGATCTTAGCCCGAGTCTCAGTACCAAGCTGCCTGTCCATGGCTGAGGTTGTACCTGAGCCTTCACAGGCTGAGAGTTTTGAATCCCCTCTGACGAGACAAAAAAAATGAATTGAAAGTAGACCCAAATTGAAAACCTTACTTATCCTCACGATTCTCTATTTTCTTACTTCCCTATGTAGTGTTTAGCATTACAACATTGAATATCAAATATTGAAGACTCAACTTGATAATATGTATATTTCTTCCAAGAGCTTGGAAAATCACTATTTGCACAACTGTTGGATCATTTGTACCCTCTGGCAAATTAACATAGCTATTGAAAATCACCATTTTTAATGGGTAAATGTACGAACTAAATGGGCCATGTTCAATAGCTATGTTAGTTTACCAGAGGGTATTTCCCATTCGTAATCCATTAATTACTATAAAGTCCCATTAAACCGCAATAAATCACCATTGAATTCCCATACCATCAGCATTAAGTCACCATTAAATCCCATTAAATCACCATTAAATCACCATAAAATCCTATTGAATCCCATTAAACACCATTAAATCACCATTTATAGTTGATTTACCTATTAAAAAAGGTGATTTTCCATGACTTTCCATAGCCCATCCCTGCCATTCATCCCTTAAAACCATATCCATGGCTCCATGGCTCCATTAACAGAGGCTCCATGGCTCGCTGCTTTGGATCCCTGCGGGATTAACAATCCCTGCAAAGGCTCCACCCAAACTATAGATGTTATGTGTATCTATACACAAACTTAGGTATATATATATATATACATATGGTATATATAAATACTTGATATATATATATATATATATACATACATATTTATAATTATGATTTACAAATATATAATATAAATAATATATATGTATATATATATATACATATGATATATATATATATATATATATACATATGATATATATATATATACAAATGATATATATATATATATTTATGAGAATTTTATATATAAATGATATATATATATGTAAATGGTATATATCTATGATATATATAATATATCAAATAAATAAAATATGAAAATATGTATATATATATATAACAATAAATTTATATGGTATATATATATATATACATGATATATATATATATATGAAATATAACTATGAGATAAATGTGTGTATATATAATCTAAATATATATATATATGATATAAATATATATATATATGTGATAAAATATATATATATATATACATATGATATATATATATATATGATATATATATATATATAATAAAAGAAAACATATTATATATATTTACATATCATATATAAATAGAAAACAAATATATCATATTTGATTATATATATATGTTATATATATATGGTATATACAAATATGATATTTCAATATATATATATGTAAATATATATGAAATATATAAATATTAACTACATATATATGATATATATATATATATTTAAATTATATGATATATATATATATATATGTATGATATGATATATATATATATAAGATGTAATATATATATGGTATATAATTAAAACAATATATATATATGTGATATATATGTATAAAAAAATAATTAAAACAATATATATATATATACATATGTATATAATATATAAATATAGACATATATATATATGATTTATAAATAATATATGCCATGAATAATTATATATATATTATATATAATATGTCATGAATTCAACATGTAGTCTACATTTTCTTCACCCACTTAGCCAAGTTTTTGGTTAAGCCACAACCCCATGCAGCAAAATCAGCCCCACCAGTTGCTGTCGAGAAGCGCTCGATGAAGGACCGCGGCTCGCTCTTGCGCGCTGCGATGGGCCCCGGTGCCGGCGTGCAACAAATGCTGCGGGCCATGCGTTAACCAACATCCATGCAAGCATGAAAAACATGTGTATATACAAAAAATAATATACTGTGAGAATACTATCAAATATACAAGTTTATTTTTTTAAACACAATATATAATACACATATACCCGTGTGCGTATATATATATATATATATACATACACACATACACACACATATATATATACATACAGACACATATACGTATACGTATACGTATACATACACATATACATTAAAAAAATAATACAATACCTACATATCGAACAAATTCATTAATATCACATATACATATTTAGGCATAGATATTGATATTCCTGCCCCAATTGCTCTACGTCCCACTTAACTAATTTCGTTAGTTCATGGAGCTTGTCTTGTCAATCAGCAATAGCAATGGATCAAAACTCCACGGCATATGTCAGGTTTTTATCCCACCCACAAAAAGATATCAGTCTGGATAAAAACAAACAAAAAATCGCAAGAAAGGACCGGTTCAGTGGTTTCAAAACCTCATTCACTATCCTTCGATGTTTTTCAGTGAGGTCAAGTCGGGGTAGCCACGCTATGCAAGTGTTGATTTCCAAAAGCAATCCCATTCTCCTAAAATGGGGGCTTCCATCAATGGGGGTACCCCACTAGCTTGATGGTTTATCATGGAAAATCCTATTAAAATGGATGATTTGGGGATACCCCCATTTTAGGAAACCTTGAAATTGAGAGCAAAAATGCAGAAAATCACCAAATTTGATGATAGAAACCAGGTTTTCCTGTATGTAAGCGTTCATTCAAGCAGTCTGTGAATACTATAGTTGTCCGAAAATAATATGGTCGAAATTCCGGTCGAAATCATGTTTGCTATAAAATCCAGACTTTGTCGTGACTTTGTGCCCCCTCGGAACTTCCCCCCGCTGTACCTGACGGTGCCCGGGCTCAATGTGAAAGACCTGAACCCCCAAGTTTTAAGCCTTGTGGGCTACAAGAAGGGACCCGCAACTTATGTTCGTGGATGTCCGTTGGGTCAAAGCACCATCTACATAGTATATAGTTAAATGTATGTATATATATATATATATATATATCATCAAACATAGACCCCAACTTGTAAACAAATTTAGCTATATGGCTGGCCCCTTGTATAGTGATTCTTGGTATCAAACCATCCATGTACGTTTGAGTCTTTACCCAATGTTCATCTATAATCACATGAGCGAAAAATATTGTTGTGCCCAAGTGAAGAGGAATTCCTGTTCTCCATACGTAGCATGTCGAAAATTGCATGGGCGTATGGCATGGAAGTCCGCCGTGTTCTCTTCGCGATTGTGTGCAAAGTCTTGAAGTCCCGTGTATCCCCAATGGCAAGCACAGGGCGATCTGGCGTTGGGGTTGCCGCGGCGTTGGTTCTACCGGGCCGGTGAACCACGACCTTTGTGTAAATCCGTCCATAGTCCATGTAGAAGAGCTCGCCAGGTACGGTTGGGAACGCCGGGAAACATCTGAAATGTGCTGATGTTCATGGTATTATACCCTCTGGTAAACAAACAGTTTGCTATTGAAAATGGCCCAGACGAAAATCACCATACAAAAGATTGGTCGATGATTCCAGGAAGATTGCACACTTTGCTTTGCAAATTTAATCTCTGCTGCCTCCTTCACCTTCCTCCTCATCTGTGCTATCACCTGGCACAGGCACAGGCACTGCTGGTGCCTTTGGAGGTGGTGGCTTTGGAGCAGCCAATGCATGCATCTTTGGGGCTGGTCGGATTAAAGATACCACCGGCAGGAGGCATAGCCATGGGAAGTCCTTGCATCAAAGCTGCCACGAGGTGCTGACTGATGGCACCAGCCATGTAGTTCAGGATCTGGTCATTGTTCATAGTGTCAGGCCTGGGTGGCATAGCCTTGATCGATGGTGGGGCCAAAGCAAAGGATCCTTCTGGTACAGCTGCTGCCTTTGGAGCTTCTGGTGCAGCCTTTGGAGTTGGGGGTGCTGGCTGCAGCATCCCCCATGGAGTTTGGAGTTCATACTGCTTCTGGTGCAGCCATCCGATGTAAGATTAAACATGGTGATTTTCCATCGATTTTTGTATGTTTACCAGAGGGTATAACTCCTTGGAATCATCGACCAATCTTTTGGCAAATTCAGAACTGGAACATCTCCGGTACTTGGATGGGCATCGCATTTAGTGAGTGGTTAAATTACTACTTGGTCAGTTCGCCACTTGCGAACCTGGATGATATACCCCTATCAATGATCAAGTTTATGATATATTATCAAAGGAAGTTGGGAAGCAATCTTTCGAGTTACGGACAAATAGAATTGTGAGACTTGACATTGATGAAGGGCGGTGTGAGACTTGACATCACATAACTAACAATACCTCACAAAAAGAGTAATAGGCTATGACACAGTGTGGTGACGAAGCGCAGTGGTGACCTAGGGGCATGGTGACGAAGGGAAGTGGTGACGAAGGGAAGTGGGGACTAAGGGACTTGGGGACGAAGGGAGCGTGGTGACTAAGGGAAGTGGTGACGAAGAGAGTGTGGTGACTAAGGGAAGTGGTGACGAAGAGAGTGTGGTGACTAAGGGAAGTGGTGACGAAGGGAAATGGTGAGGAAGGGAGTGTGGTGACGATGGGAAGTGGTGACGAAAGGAAGTGGTGACTAAGGGAAGTGTGGTGACGACGGGAAGTGGTGAGGAAGGGAAGTGGTGATCAGGGAAGTGGTGACGAAGGGAAGTGGTTACGAAGGGAACTGTGGTGACTTTGGGAAGTGGTGACTTTGGGAAGTGGTGACTAAGGGAAGTGGTGACGAAGGGAAATGGTGAGGAAGGGAGTGTGGTGACGATGGGAAGTGGTGACGAAAGGAAGTGGTGACTAAGGGAAGTGTGGTGACGACGGGAAGTGGTGAGGAAGGGAAGTGGTGATCAGGGAAGTGGTGACGAAGGGAAGTGGTTACGAAGGAGTGTGGTGACTTAGGAAATGGACGAAGGGAGTGTGGTGACTTTGGGAAGTGGTGACTAAGGGAAGAGGTGACGAAGGGAAGTGGTTACGAAGGGAACTGTGGTGACGATGGGAAGTGGTGATAAAAAAGTGGTGACGTGAAGTGGAGTTGGCGGCCGGGGTGTGTTGTGGTGACAAAGGGAGTGTGTTGCCTACGTGGAAGGGGAATGTGCAAAATGCATTGTGATGGCTGCATGAACGTTGCATGGGGCTTGTGTTGGGGAGGAAGCTGGAGCACGAAACCTTGTGTTTTTACCTGTAAAGTGGCTGCAGCCGGCGATGAAAGGTACCTCCTGTGCGGCGGTTGCGGTTTGGATCGTTTCGAGGTCAATCGGTTCCCCGTCTGTGTTCTGCAACGAGTGGTTGTTCCTTTGTGCGTAGTTCTATGCGTTTATTGCATCAGTAGTTGCAGATCGCATTGGAATGGCTGCATGATTGTTGTCGTGCTCTGTTGCTATGTGCGTAGATACATGCGGGTTAGCCACCTCATGCTGCAAAATGCATTGTGATGGCTGCATGAACGTTGCATGGGGCTTGTGTTGGGGAGGAAGCTGGAGCACGAAACCTTGTGTTTTTACCTGTAAAGTGGCTGCAGCCGGCGATGAAAGGTACCTCCTGTGCGGCGGTTGCGGTTTGGATCGTTTCGAGGTCAATCGGTTCCTCCTCTGTGTTCTGGAGCGAGTGGATCCAAATCGCATTGGCTGCATGGATGTGTACGTGATTAGTGTTGGATGAGATGAAAACAGTTGAGAAGAACTTATTTAGATGACATGTCAGAAGAGATGGGATGAGATGAGAAGAGCTGAGATGAGGTGAGAAGAGCTCACATGATTTGAGATGAGATGAAGTGTGGAGTGTGAATTGAAGTGTGAAGTGCGGGGTGTGAAGAGCGCAGTATGAAGTGTAAAGAAAGTCTTCGCTTGGCGTTGCATTGCACCGGGGTCGCGCGCAGGTCATGTTCTTGGACAACAACACCGCAACAGCTTCGCACAAAGCACGCACGCACGGGCCTGGCTGGCGCACGGCGCATGCAAGTTCTATAGATGAGAAAGGTCTTATAGTATATCCCTAAGGCAACTTCCGCCCCGCCTCGTGCAGGTACTACTGGTATAGAATTATATAGTAGGATAATTCCGCGTAGTAGCTTGTTAACAAGGCTTTTTACAAAGTCCCGCTTCTTGGGCTAATATCAATATCCCATAATGTCCCACAGAATCGATATACCCATATTATATATATATAGCAGTACCATAATATCCCATAATAAAATATCAATATATTTTATATCAATATCCCACAGAATTGTTTTTTCTTCAAAACCCAGTTACCTTCAACCACTGACTTTCTGCGATGATACCATCTCGCTTCTTGATGACTGAGACACCCATAGTTGAAATTAAATCATACAATGTGGGCCTCCCAGTTTTGTTTGTTGGTTTATAAGCCCCAGTAACTATAGTTATAAGTACCATAAACCATAGTTATTGGAGTTATAAACTAACTTAGCTATCTTGGGGGCCTCACAGTGTGTATATATATAATATAGCATACAGCAGTATACCACCCGACCGCTGCTTGGATGTGCATTAGATAGCTTTTTTTATGTGGGATATCCAAGCCAGGTCAGATGCACAGCCAGTTCTGCCTCTCAGAGACATCCAACAGGTCAAGAGGAGCGTGTTCTAACTGCTGGTTGAGGTCGGGAAAGACCAATGTCTCCTGGGGAAAGGCCACGAGAGAGCCCCTGGGCTGAAATTCATGATGCTTCGTGATGGGTGAAACATGACGTTCGGTGTAGCTAAGTGGTTTATAACCGGCTTTAGTAGGGTTTATGGTAAACATAGATGGAAGGTAGAAACCAACAAACAAACTTACGGGCACCACCTTGTAGATAAGTTGAATTTGTGGTTTAGTTCACAATCCTTAGTTTGAAACGGGTGGTGTAACCCCCTGTCAAAAGCAATCAACGCTTGGGTACAATATTTTTCATGGTTCACTATCCATGGCAATTTATGTTTCAACATATATATATATATATATGTAATATATATATATGTTGGTCAATTCACTATGTAGTAAGTTCTTTCTTATTGTTCACAGAAGCTGGCTGAAACACAAGCATTCACCAAACTGAAAATAGCGGCAAGAAGGTCACTTAGGGGTGACTCCTCTCATCATTCCAGTGACGTCACGCTGAGGTCACAATAATTCATCCATGCAGATACAACTGATCTATCCTCCTCAAAACCGCAAAATGACTAGAAACATCTAAAAACCACTAACCTACTCAACCAATTCTTTACCTATAGATACAAACCTACAACACCCAAGGTGGTGCCCCCCTGGTATAAGTTTGTTTACAACCACCACTTGTCTATATATACCATATATCCAACAGTTTCGCCATCAAACATCTCATATAGATCCTCATGTTTGTTTGTGAAGTCCCCATTGTGGTGAAATAATTTAAATCCGGCTTTTTAGGTTGACCATATACCTTCGACCCCAAGAGAAATGGGTCGAGTCCCATTTGTGGGTCAGTCAATAACCCCAAGTTCAAGACAAGTTTAAAGGTTAACATCTATTGTGGTAAACCCAATGCCATAAACCATCACCAATTTCACCATAAATGGTTAAAATAAACCATGCCCAAAAGGTAGGTTTATTATTGGGTTGCCCAGTTGCCCAAATTAATGTGGTTAACTGTTAACCCGAACAGTTGTGGCCCAACTAAGAGTTATAAAATGTTAATGGAATGAAATAACTCCATTTTATAACAGAGGTGACCATTATAAACATAACTAACTAACCTCAGTTATAAAGGAGTGCCATAAATGGCTTCATAAATGGCTTTGCAACTCCTTTATAACTCAATAAGCCCATGATTTCATAGCAGTGCCAGAACCCTGAAGAGCCTAGCCACCACCGGGCTTTTAGCCCAGCAAAGTTCGGCCCATTTCTGAGACGTCCCACTATGGACCGCGCCAACCAAGAAATTACTTGGCGCATACCACTCAAGTGCCTCGCCGATCCGACCAAAAAATGGTAAAATAATTATGTTGATGGGTTTTTAATCATAATCAAATTATAATCATAATCAATTTATCCATTGTATCATAATCAAATGCCACATTTTTCAGCAGCAAAACGCACGATTTAACGGTCTAATGATCTAATATTGGTGGTTTCAGCCTGGAAAAATCATGGAGTGAAAGTCAGATTGGATCATCATCCCAACAAAATAGGGGAAAATAAAAGCCATGTTCCAAACCACCAACCAGAATCACCATTAATCACCATTAATCACCACTATTAATCACCATTAACCATTATTAACCATTAACCATAAAAAAATGTTCCAAACCACCAGAGATTGCACCAAAATGGTGATTTCGCCAGCAAAATCGTGATGGATCAACAAAGCGGAGAAATTTTGTGATTTGACCAGCAAAAAAAAAGGATTTGACCAACCAAAGTGGTGATTGAAGCAGCAAAATATTGATTAAAGCAATGAACATATGGTGGACCATTTCGGTCTCTCTCAGTTTTTGGGAAATGCAGGACGCAACTGCAACGGCAGTTGTCCTGGTAGTACCATACCATACCATATGGGAATTATTGAATAATTATTTGGTATTCATGGTGAATTTGACCAACAGAATCAGCCAGGCTGGTGGTTAGTAAGGGATCTGACGATCTGAAAATGTGAGATTTCACCACCACACCACCAGCCATTTGGGGGAGTTATCGACTTAACACGAGTTAACCTGGAAAATTGGAGATTCATAATATGATAGCTACCCTCTGGTAATTTGTTACATAGCGAACTGGATTTTTTGGCCCAGTGATAGTGATTTTTTACCTATAAAAAGTGGTGATTTTCAATAGTTGTTTGTATGTTTACCAGAGGGTTCATAACCCATATGCTCCATATGCTCCATGGTGCTGGTATACTTACCTACACATAACTGGGTGATGAATTGTTCGGGCAAATGTTGGAAAGATTCATATTCCAGCACCATGGTTCGCATATGGGTAAAATGATAGCAAAGTTGGTTTACACCGCATACAACTAGGCTTCATGGTAGAAAAAAAACCATGGATACCCATGGTTCGATGGGTTTTAACAGCAACTTACAATGGGAACGCCACCAGCAGTACCTCCATAGGATGATACAATGGGAACCAACGGTGACATCTTAGTTGTTTCAGCCCACTCCCCTACAATGTGGCCCCCCCAGTTATGCTTGTTGGTTTATAAGCCCTAGTAACTATAGCTATAAGTACCATAAACCATAGTTATTGGAGTTATAAACCAACTTAGCTATCGAACGGGGGCCTCACATTGTATGGAAGATTTATTCACTCACATCCCATCATATCCTATGATATTCCACTATGTCCACATCCCAGTGTATCCCACTAGAAAACGGTCTTCCCATATTCCCCGTTTACCCCCACAATTGCTAGTTGAAGCCTGCAATATCCCATAATGTTCCCATTTCATATCGCAGTGTCCCTTATATCATATTGCATTGTATCAAGGGTATCACGGTCCAATATAATTATGTGTAAATACAGTGCGGTAATTCCACATAGCCATGGAACATCACTATTTTCAAAAGGTAAACAAACCATGGAAGTGAATGGACATGGCCGTCCATTGGCCAAAGCTATCTGTAGCAAATTACCCGAGGATATATGCCATCATATCGCATTACATCCCACTATGTTATATTATGTATACTTTTATTGTGCCATACTTCCATTCTATTCACATTATGTCCCATTACCCTCTGGTAAACTAACAGTTTGCTATGGAAAATCACTATTTTCTAGCTGGGTAAATCCACAATTTCTATGGCCATTCTCAATAGCTTTTTGTATGTTTACCAGAAGGTATCTCCCATTCATAATCCATTAAATCACTATAAAGTCCCATTAAACCACAATAAATCACCATTAAATCACCATTCTATGCACATTATGTTCGATTATATTCGCTAGCATTGACTTATCATAAATCTCAATTTTTGCTGTCCAAATGTGCGGTGGCCCGTTCTGGATGAGTAAGATGAGCAGGGTTCACTGTTCGTTGATGATTATAGGGGTTTATGTATGAGACTACCCAATATACCCTCTGGCAAACTACCACAACTATGGAAAATCTCCGTTTTTAATGGGAAAACGGAAAACTCACTATTTCGACTGGGCTATGTTCAGGAGCTTTTTGTATGTTTACCAGAGGGTATCCAATATATTGGGGATGATCATCATCAAGTATGGGAAATCCTATTAGCCAGTTTTTGAAGGGCCGAAAAATTGCGGGTGGCTGGAACACTGCTCAGATGTAATCCCATTCTATTCCTTTATAATATCAAACCTGGTTGGTGTTTTTAACCCCTCTGAAAAATATGATTTCGTCAGTTGGGATCATTATTCCCAATATATGGAAAAAAAGTCATGTTCCAAACCACCAACCAAGTTATATGTCCATTATATTCGCATTATTATATCTGGCTGAGAAACTTGCGGCCACTTCGGAATGATTCCCCGAATCCTTCTTCCGTCATTATGGTGACATCATATGGTGACGTCATAGTTCAACCAGAATTATTTTCCCTAAACATTCACCAAGTAGTGGATTTTCCAGGAACTTTTGCCAAATCATCAGCAAATCCCATGATATTTCGATGAACATCTGATGAAATGACAATTCAAATCCGTAAGAATCGCTGATCTATGATATGAATTGACATGATATCCATTGATATCCCATGAATTTCATGATATGCCTGCCTATCCACATGAAAATCACCGTTTCACATGGCCCGGCCACCGACGCACCGAAGACGACCATGACGCGTCGCCTGTGGATGGACTCGAAATTCCGTGTGGACTCTCTCAGGAGTAGCGACAAGTCCAAAGCCTGGTTGCCAACTTCGCTGCCACAAGGACCAGGACAAAAAGGCCAGAGAAATGGAGTTGTAATACAATATACTTAGGCTATATATTCACCAGTAGTTCACTATAACTATGGAAAATCGCCAGTTAATTTTCATACAATGTGAGGCCCCCAAGATAGCAAAGTTGGTGAACATCACTCCGACTTCACTATGGTTTCTGGTACGCAAATAACGAACTAGTTACTGGGGCAAATCTAAACCAACTTATAACTGGGGGGGGCCACATTGTAGGTTATATATATATATATACATATGATTATCACTAAAATCATATTTCATAAAACTACATAGGAGTTAATAGCCCTATAGCCAGTGATAAATGGAAATATAACTCCGTTAAACTGAGGTTATATATAATTATATATATATATGTATCATTATATATCATTATCACTACAATCATATTTCCATACAACTTCATAGGAGTTAATAGCCCTATAGCCAGTGATAAATGGAAATATAACTCCGTTAAGTGAGGTTATATATATATATATATCATTATATATTACACTAAAATCATATTTCCATACAACTACATAGGAGTTAATAGCCCTATAGCCAGTGATAAATGAACATATAACTCCGCTAACTGAGGTTACATATATATATATACATATCATTATATATCATTACCACTAGAATCATATTCCCATACAACAACATAGGAGTTAATAACCCTATAGCCAGTGATAAATGGAAATATAACTCCGTTAACTGAGGTTATACATATATATATATATCATTATAAAATAATATAAACCCATTTATAACTTTTGAGGATGGCTACGCTCTGGTAAACGTTTACAATTTGCGAACTGGAAAATCACCATCTTTAAAAGGGAAATCAACGATTTATATGGGCCATTTTCAATAGATATGTTAAATTACCAGAGGGTATAGCCCTATAGCCAGTTGGAAATGGAATTATTAGTTCTATAAGGTTTTATATCTTTAACCAACCCAGTTTATAGCTGTTCGTTGGTCCATGCCATAAATGTAATTCCATTCATATCAAGCATACACCCAACAATGACATGTTAGGCAAATTTAATTTAAACCCACACTTCATCGGGCCACCAAACTTTCACCCTAGATTTACCATTAGTTAACAACCACGGATTGATTGTTTTTTTATTTTGACAATTTTTGCACGTAAAAAACTTCCCGAAATTGTGATTAGCCAATTTTTTCCCATAAAAGAACTAAGCCATTTCCCAGTTTTCCCATAAAATTGCCATTGTTCCCATAAAAGTCATAAGATTGTCTCATTTGTTGCCAGCCATGAAGCTTTCCCATAAAATCTGGGTAAATTATAATATTTCACTAACCTGAATTGTTCGGCCATTTGGGGTGATTTCCCTTACTAACCATGATTCCAAGGCTCGGTCACAGTGAGGTCGTTATAATTTACCCAGATATACATATATATATATATACCATATAATATGTCCCATATAATTCTCATGGGATTTGCCAACCATGAAACTTTCCCATTGTCTCATCCCCCAATTAGACGGCCAGAACTTCATGGCGGAAAGGTGCGCCTTCGCTGGCCCTTGCAAGCGAATCCATCCACGCATTAACCTCCGTAGCCAGGATTGAAGGTAAATATTTGGATGGAAACATTGGTGAGGGTTTGTTTGTTATGGATATTATAATGAATCCCATATTAATGAATATTATATAGTGGATTCATTTGGATATTGGATGAATGGAATATTAAAGGGCATACTGGCGATATGATTCATATGAAACCAATTGGGATGATTCATATTGCAATTCACCTCTACTGGGCCATCATTCCAATGACGCAACGCAGCGCGCTCGTCAAAATTTATCCAGATAGATGATGTTTTGTTGGTTAAAATTGTTACAAAATTATGATAAATACCAAATCACAAAATACCTGGGAAAATGCTGGATCAATGGATTTGCTTCGGGATTGAAAGAGCATCTCATCCCATTTGCTTTGGTCATTATTGAATAGTTTTGTTTTAACAAAATGTTGTTTCATGTGTTTTCCCTTAATAGGAATTTCATGGGTCTGTCTAGCAAAATAGGTAGGACATTCTGTTGCTTACAATTATAATTTCGACGCAATCCATGATCTACTCAAAATAATAATAATAATCATCATCATCATCATTATCATCATCATCATCCTCATCATCATCATCATCATCAACATTAACTGGTTGGTGGTTTCAACCCCTCTCAAAAAATATGAAAGTCAGTTGGGATGATTATTCCCAACTGAATGGAAAAATAAACATCATGTTCCAAACCACCAACCAGAATCACCAGTAATCACGATTAATCACCATTAATCGCCACTAATCACTATTAATCACCATTAATCACCATTAATCACCATTAACCACCATTAACCATTATAAATCACCATGAACCATCATCATCAACAATAAAATATATTATGATTCTCTTACTTCCCCCACACTCTTTGGGGTCGCCGGGATAGTGTTCCCCTGAAATTCCGGGATTCACAAAGATGAAGCGTACGCCGCTGCACCAGGCCCTGTAAGCCGCACATCCACCATAAATCCAGCACTTACAGGGTGGTGCCCAGGTTTAAGCTGATTTATCAACCCCATGATAGATGAATATTTACCATAGACCCAACAGCCGGCCCAACAGCTATGTTGCTTAATTTTGATAGATTATATATACCTTGGCCATCCTACATTACATATAAATCCTCATTGCTGCAGCTTACCCTCTGGTTATGTCCAAATAGCAATTGAAAATGGCCATTGAAATAGTGAGTTTTCCCATGAAAAACGGTGGATCTTTCCAAAGTTACGTAGACGTTTACCGGAGGGTTCATAGATTATATATATATACCAAATTGGCCATCCTACATCACATATAAATCCTCATTGCTGCAGCTTAAGTCCTCATTTTGACATACCATTAAAAATGTAGTATACCATATGTTAGTTTAATCACCAATTTTCATTAGTTATTAGTATACCAGTAGACTTTCCCTGGACTCCCGACTCATCCGGCGACACGCTGCCGCTGTTGTCCGTATCGATGAGCCTCGGTCGTTACGGGCTGGGGGGAGCTGCACCCCCTCTTTCGACCTGATGATGTCATAGATTGTCATGAGAAAATATGGGAAAATGATGTTTTAAGAAGATTGTATTTTCGAAGAACTGGATGGAAATTTCAATTTTATAGCTATTGTAGTGTTAATGGATTCTTGTGTTTGTTGATTAGTACCCAATGAACATATGATTATTGGGCTAGTTTCAGACACAACCCCTTAGAGGAAGAAGCCACCAATTCTTTAATGGTGATGACCCGAGGATGGTGCAGATGACAATATCACACAGCACGTATTCCTCCAGGAATGGCTACGTTTCAACCAATCGTACAATCTTCTGTCCACCCTTCATAAAACTGTACGAAGATTACCTGCAATGTGGGGCCCCCAGATAACTCCAGATATAAGTTGGTTTGGATTCGCCCCAGTAACTAATTCGTTATAAGTACCATAAACCATAGTGAAATTGGAGTGATGTTCACCAACTTAGCTATCGAACGGGGGCCTCACATTGTAGAAAACCGAGCTGCAGGAGAAAAAGAGGCACTGACGAAAGGCCTAAGCCTGGGGACCTGAGGGATTGCCGACCTCCACGGCTCGTCTGGCTCGTCTGACTTGTGTTGCAAAAATACCATCTGGTTATTTAACATAGCCATGGAAAATCACCATTCTTTTAAGTTCGGTAAACCATCAAACTTTCTATGGGCCATGGCTTCCATGGCTATGTTACAAATTACCAGATGGTATAAAAACAGGTTCCATTGTCCTAGGTCTTCTTTTTTGGTTTCAAAAAGAATCCAAAAAACTATGGGGACCCAGGTCATCTGCAAGATGATGCACCGAAAGATCCACTGACTCGAGAGAGCGCCTCAGATGAAGATTCAACAAAAATACAGGATCCACATTGTCTAATGCTTTCCTGCAACCCAATGATCAGAGCAATGTTTTAAACATACCCCTATAGCATCTAATGAAATACTAGCTGGTGGAGAACGGTTTCCTATTCATATGGGGCATAGTAATAATAATGATAATAATAATGATGATAATGATAATAATAATGATGATAATGATGATAATAACGATAAGGTAGCGTGTGTCCCAACGCATTAACTAAGTAGCTAATACAAATATATATATATATGTATTATTTATCCATATGTGATGGTTAAAACATGTTAAAACCCATGATAAAGACCTTATCATAACTAATCAACCAGGGTATTTTCTTCGTGGCTCAATTGGTGAACCGTGGGTGGATCTGGGCACCGCGGCTTAAAGAGACTGCGAGCATCCGCCCTGGCACGCCCAAGTTCTGTGGTGCCACCAACGGGGTTACCCCATGGGGTGTCCATAGTCATGGGATGTCATGGGGGGTATCCAAAAATGGTCGGTTTATCATGGACAATCCCATGAAAATGGATTGAGAACTGGGGGTACCCCTATTTCAGGAAACCTCCATTTGTTAGTTAATGGGAGCATCTTGGGATTATCATGGATATTCAATGGATATCATCGGATAGTCATGGAATATAACTTAATGTCAACCCCAGATTAATACACCATAGTTTATTAATTAGGGGAGGTACTTCCCCTATTTCGTCATAATCTGATACTTAAATGCTACCCCCCCAACAACAAACAACCTAAGGGTTTATTAATCCAGTTGTTGACATTATAACTCATTTGATTTATTTGGATGTACTGGCAGCTATAGTGAGGATCTAGCAATCTGTGGTAAACCCAATGCCATGTTTACCATCCCCATTAGAAGTTTATGGCATTGGGTATACCCCTATGCGGGATGATGTCAAATGATTCCCTAGTGGTTGGTTAATGGTATTGTTTATGGCCATTGATTTACCACATGATTTTTTTTTGGACATTGGCAACATTAACATGTGTAAACTGACAATGACGCAGTAATCAACCCACAAGTAACGGCATGTAGCTGACCATATTAATAACTTAAACAAAACTTTAATGGGAGCGTGGGTTATTCATGAAGAGTTCACCGCAAACAGGGATTTTACAACAAATATCTTGGGACCAAAAGTTGTGTTCGATATATCATAGCGCCTTCACCTGGATGCGAAGCTTGTGGAGCTGGATGCATCATGTTGGTTTTCCACCATGTTTCATACAATGTGGGCCCCCAAAACCTTATGTTTGTTGATTTTATAAGCCCTAGTATATAACTAGTTCGTTATTTGCGTACCATAAATCATAGTGAAATTGGAGTTATGTGAACCCCAACTTAGCGATTTCGTGGCCGGGGAGAAATCCGACCATCCTAGTTATGTGAACCCCAACTTATCAATGGCCATTCCAGGATCCGATTGATTGGAGGTACCTACCATATATAAGGCCTATTTTTTAGGCCTATGTAAGGGAATATCCCCACATAAATATGGCCTTATATGGTACTAACGTACCTCCATTTTAGGATCCTGGAATTCCCATTGAACTTAGCTGCAGTTTTGGGGCCCTATACCTGGTTCATACAATCGACCAAAAAAAATGACAGCCAGTAATGTGGGAAACCAGTTGTTAAATAAACCATCCCCTGTTGAGGCTTATGACCCACGGTCATGCTTGGTGACTGGGGTGGCTTATACAAATTATCTCCCAACTATCTATTTGAACAAGTGGTCACCATTGTTAGGTCATAACAATCCGTTTGTCCCTGTTTGCGAGTTAAGATGAGACAACTTACAACACATATGGTTCCTTATATGGTTTCTCTGATGGTTGCAAACAGGGACAACTTACAACAAGTATTTGTTGCACGTTAAGAGTTAAGATTCCGTTCTTTGATGGTTACTCTGAATACGGAAGAATGGGAAATGGTCCGGAGTAAATCGGATTGATCACCGGTTGGTTTTTCCAGAGATTGCACTGATTCAATGGATTCCAACAGGATCTTTACCAAGCACTCAAATCACAATTCTCAACCATCTATGTCAGATACATGTTTGTCCGAAAATGAGAGGTATCCATGTTCATTCCTGATTGATTCGAACATGATTTTCAGTGGTTTATCATAGTTTCCAATAATTGGCTTTAGACAACACATATACAAGCTATGTACCAATAACTATTGATGATATTGTGTTGAGTAGGCCCTGGGTAGCCAACATACAACATTGAACACATATAAAATAACTGCTGGATTCTGCAACTTCCAGTTAGTATGACCTCCCTTTATTCAGAATCCACCTCAACTACACTTATGGCAATTTATTAGTTGTAACTGGTTATGATTAAATGGGACTATACATTCCATAAATGGGGTTATAAGTACTTGTAACTGGTAAATGGCCATAACTGTATTGAACATGACATTGTCTGCAGGTTACTGCTGCCCGGGCACACATTGACGTCCACTGCGTCGAAGAGTTCTTGGAGCTCACGAGTGTCCAACTTGGCTTGGAACACCTGAACGAAAATTGGATTGGTTTACAGGAAATTTCACACGAAACCCCCATATTAATGAGAAAAAACAATCTGGTTGGTGGTTTCAACCCCTCTGAAAAATATGAAAGCCACTTGGGATGATGAAATTCCCAACTGAATGGAAAAATAAAATTCATGTTCCAAACCACCAACCAGATGGGAAAAAAAAAACATGGTTTCAGGTTTCGATTTTCCCTTCCATCCAATGATGAACGGAAAAAAACGTGAGTGTCTCGCCAGAACTGAGGGATTTTTGGCATTGAAAACGTGGTGGAACGATGGAGGATTGACCTGCAAGTTATGGTTTTTCTTGTGGAGACGACTACAATCTCAAAAAATGCCTGGTCTGAAAATGGGAAATTGTCCCTATTTATCAAATTGTTAACCACAAATTTAATGGTAAAACAACCTGTGAATGGAATAATCCATGAAAATTATTTTTTTTCATTTTGAATGGACAAATTGTTGTTTTAATGAGAAAATCATGAAAATAACCAGTGAATGGAATGGGATTCTTCCAAATAGATGCTGGTTTACGCCTGGTTTTCCTAAAAAATGAGTAACCGACCCCCAAAAAATAGCGGAATCCGAGATCATGAAACAGAAAGGCTCGCTGAGTGTCGCAGTTGGAAGAGGACGTTGTCAACGAGTACAATTAATATTTTCCAGCAAGGGTTAGTAGGGGTTCGGCCGAGTAAAGAGGATTAATGTAAACCGAAACCCAATCTTTTTGCGATTGAAACAATCATGAGATTGTGGTCTTGGAGGGCCAAAAAGGAGGATATCATGACAACATTGCTGATTCATGATAATTCTAAACACCGTACATGCATGTTCTGGCTGGCTGGAATATGTTCTCATCAGAATTGTCAATAAATATCACAATATGGCATTCTACTTGGTGACTCATCCCACTTACTAAGTTAGTTATATCCCTGGTGATTTCAGTGGGAGAAGTAGGCTTCATCCACTAACTAGGGTGAACTAACCCACCTAAACGATTCCTGGGCAGTTCACCACCAAGTATGTCACCACTAATCAATGGGAATTATACTGGATCCTAAAATGGAGGTACGTTAGTACCATATAAGGCCATATTTTGGGGGGTATATTCCCTTACATAGGCCTAAAAAATAGGCCTTACATATGGAATCGGTACCTCCAATCAATGGGATCCTGAAATGGCCATTGAACTAACTAAGCTTAACCCCGCAAGAAATGGGTCCCTACATGTTCAAACCACTCGATATCCCTAGAAATCATGGAAATTGTTTTTGATGATGGGGGGGCCAACGAAAAACCAACGGACTTGAATAAAACAAACCATTCAAAACAGAAACATATAGCAGATTCCAAAGCTAGATATGCTAGTTGAACAGTTTAACCATGTTTCACCGAGGATGAAAACTCGAGGTTTCCGAAAAAATGGAGGTACCTTTAAAAAGCATCCTAATTTCAATAGGAGTTTCCATAAGAAATCATCCGCAGTCAGGGCTGTGCGCAAGGGCCAGGGGCTAAGGTAGAAAAATGTTTGCGCTTCTGCGCAGAAAGATCTTACATACTGCAAAGTACCAGTTATGGCCCGAAATACCAGTTCTAAGTAGTAACAAAAGCCCATTTATGGAATGTATAACAGGGGTTGGTAAATGTCCAAATTCAACATCACCCAACTATTGGGGATATTTCATCTCCAACTTAAACATTTGAAGTCCAAAATCAGCCATGGGACATTTACCCATTTACCAAGCCCTGGCCCTAACCCCATTGACATCACCAGTTTATAACGGCACGCCATGGCAACGGCAGCTGGAGTACCCCGCTATGGAACAGGTGGTCGCCCTAGCCGCACCTTCCAGTCGATAGCATTTTGCTCATTCAAATCGCTTTGTTTGAACAGGTTCCTAGGCAATGCGAAAAAAACGTGAGAAAAACATAGAAAAAAAACATGTTTGAGGAAAACGGAAACTTGCATATGTAATAACTAGAAAGATCTTTGACCTCTACTGCGGTGTTTTTTGTAGTTCACAAATATATGATCACATGTGTATGTATATATATATATATGATGTAAAACAACGTATCTATACCTCCGTGTTGAAATATATATGTATATACAATATATACATAATTATATATATATATATATCATTATATATCATTATTATAATTATATCATTATTAAATATCATTATTAACATATTATATTATATGTGTAACCAAACTTGAAAGTACCAGTGATACCAGGGAAAAACTTACTTGGAGGATCCTCCAAGTAGTGAATCGACTATCCACTACGAATAGAGAGTGGGATATGTGCTGTTCACCCATTTTTTCAGCAACAAAACCATGGCCGGCCATGGAATCCATGGAATGCATCTAAAAATATTGTAATTAACCCACCTAGAATAGATCTCCAAACCATGTTTTGCAGGGGGGTGATGTGAAGTGTCATGGCTACTCAAAAATCGTAGGTATGCTGCAAACATCCGTATTGCGGCGTTTGGAATTTCATTGGGTATCACATATACCCTCTGGTTATTTAACATAGCCATGGAAAATGGACCATAGAAATAGATGGTTTACCTGGGTTTATCTATTAAAAATGGTGATTTTCCATGGCTATGTTAAGAGGGTATAATTAATTCCAATCAGATCGCCATATATCCGGGGTTGCGAAATCGATGGACTTGACTGGACGGACGGGGATGCAGAATAGCCTCTGGTAATTTAACATAACTATGGAAAATCACCATAGAAATAGTGTTTTTTTCCCATGAAAAATGGTGATTTTCCATAGATATGTTAGTTTACCAGAGGGTATGTTTCAGAGGGGCTCCAGTTGAGTTGACATTATGGGCACTTGAAGACATCAAGAGAATCAGAGACTGAACTCCGACACAAGAACACGTCCAGATGCGGTGGCAAAAACACATCAACATCAACAACCAGCAAAACAAACACATGTTCAAAGAAAAAGGGTAGCGAACAATGTCGGTTGTCTTTTTCCCCACCTGCCAGGTGAGGGTTGTTAGATTTTATGTTAGTTGCCTGCTCCTCCTCTCCTCTCCTCGTCTCCTCCTCTCCTCTCCTCCTCCTCCTCCTCCTGCTCAACCGCGATCCACGCTCAGTGTGCCCTGCCGGACCTCAACCACGACCAAACACGCTCAGTGTGCCCTGCCGGACCTCAACCACGACCATCCACGCCCAGTGTTCCCTGCCGGACCTCAACCACGACCATCCCCGCCCAGTGTTCCCTGCCGGACCTCAACCACAACCATCCCCGCCCAGTGTTCCCTGCCGGACCTCAACCACGACCATCCACGCCCAGTGTTCCCTGCCGGACCTCAACCGCGAGTATCCACGCCAAGTGTTCCCTGCCGGACCTCATGTAGGAAGATATGGGACAAAGAATGTGCAGAAGAAAGTTAGAAAGAATGTCAGACAAGTTGTCCGAGCAAATGAAGAATGTCAGAAAAGATGTCAGATAGAATGTCAGAAGATATGCCAGATAGAATGCCAGAAAGAATGTCAGAAAGAATGTCAGAAGATATGATATGCCAGACAGAATGTCAGAAGATATGCCAGAAAGAATGTCAGAAGATATGTCAGATAGAAGGTCAGAAGATATGCCAGATAGAATGCCAGATAAAATGTCAGATAGAATGTCAGAAGGTATGCCAGATAAAGTGCCAGAATGTTTGCCAGATAGGATGCCAGAAGATTTGCCAGATAATATGCCAGAAGATATGCCAGATAGAATGCCAGATAGAGTGCCAGAAGATATGCCAGAACATATGCCAGAAGATATGCCAGGTAGAATGCCAGAAGATATGCCAGATAGAATGCCAGAAGATATGCCAGAACATACTGCAGAAGCTATGCCAGATAGAATGCCAGATAAAATGTCAGATAGAATGCCAGAAGATTTGCCAGTAACAAAATGTATAAATGTCATGGTGGGGATCACACGAAGTAAAGTAATTCTTTAATTACCCTCGTGTTATTTAACATAGCTATTGAAAATGGTCCACTTATAGATGATAAAAATGATGAGTTACCTATTAAAAATGGCGATGTTCAACACTTTGTACCCATTAAATTTTATGCTGATTACCTCCAATGTGGGGCCCCCTAGTTATGAGTTGGTTTATAATCCCATCTAACTATAGTTACAACAACCATAAACCCTAGTGATGGTAGTTACAAAGTTATAAACCAACTTAGCTATCTTGGGGGCCCCACATTGTATTATTTATGATTTATTTAGCTATGTTAAATAACCATAGGGTAATAGTAATAGGCACTGTTTCGCCGAGTTTCAACACATGCCGCACGACGTAGGAATCCTGGAATGGGGCAGGCAGGAAGTTTGCATCAACGGTCAAGCCCGTGGTACTTGAGGTGCTGCTCCCTAGTACAGATAAGGATTTAATGATGATTTAATGGGATTTAATGGGATTTCATGGGATTCTATGGGAATCTCATGGTTTTAATATAGCCATCTACCCTCCGGTTAACGTGGATGGCTTTAAAATCCCCTATAAATGATGGTTTTTTAACATGTTTTAACATGTTTTAATGCTAAAACAGTCCATAAATGGGTCATTTCAAAGTCATTTCCCATGTCCGCCTTTGATTACGCGAGGGAAACTATCCGGCTAACTCTCCTAAGGGTAACGAGTTCCATATTCACTACCCTCTGGTAAACTAACAGTTTGATATGGAAAACCACCATCCTTAGTAGGTAAATCAACTGTACTGTAATCATATCCCATTATGATATGATTGATAAATATTAATGTACACTCTGGTAAACATTCAAAAAACTATATGGAAAGATCCACCATGTTCAATGGGACAATCCACTATTTCTATGGCCATTTTCAATTGCAAACTGTTAGTTTACCAAAGGGTATATCGACAAATCCCCATTCTGAACCGAGTTGTAAACCAACTTACCTATCTATGGAGCACCAATTTGCAACACAATACCTTACTTTGTGTAATACCAGTCATAATTTAACACATCCTCACATTTATTGCGGCATAAATTTTGACAGAACCCAGTATGTTCGGCCATGATCATATGACATACAAACTGACAGTAACTGACATCTACCCTGACACATAGTCATACATTTTTTGTGACATCAGCCTGACATGAAGTCGGACATATATTCTGACATACATTTTGGCATGTGATTTTTGCTCGCAAATGGACCGTGAAATATGTTCTCACAAACATTCTGACATCAACCGGGACATATAGATATGGTATATATTTGTATATTATTTCCAGATATGTATCCAGCCAACAATGCAGACATTTCCGAAATGGCAGCTTTCAAAATTATTATGATATTTCTGACTGGTTATATAATCTATTTCAAGTTTTGTTTTTTCATCATAATCCATAATAAACTATAATAATGACAATAAACTCCAGTTATTTCAAGTTAATCTATACTAAACTCCAATAATAATAAATAAACTGAATATTCTGACTTCTAAACTCGGAAGCTGCACCATATCCACCCTTGGACAAGTGGAGTGGGATCTGAAACAGCCAGCTTGACCGCTACAATATGGGGCCCCCGGCCACGTTATGTGAATGTTGGTTTATAAAGTTTAGATTCGCCCCAATAACTATAGTTCGTTATTATTTGCGTACAGTTATGTGAACGTTGGTTAACAAGAGCCCCAATAACTATAGTTCGTTATTTGCGTACCATAAACCATAGATATTGGAGTGATGTGAACCCCAACTTGGCTATCTTGGGGGGCCTCACATTGTAGGCCATCTAGGCTCAAACATGAAATGATGAATTGCACACAATGAAAAATATGAAAATGATCTCTGTGCAAGCATTCAGGAATCAGCAAACTGGGCTGTGACATGGTATGATTGGCCACACTGACTACTAACATGTACCAACCATCTGAACCTTTGGGCAAGAAATCATGGCACATCAAGTCACTCTCTGTTCATTAAAAAACAAAACAATATACACCAATCCTTCTTACAATAAAACAAACATCCAAAACATTGGATGTTGAATTGGTGTGGCAAATGTAAAATCAAGTACCCTCTGGTATTTTGTTACATAGCTATTGTTGAAATGGCCCATTGAAATAGTTGATTTACCGGTTTTAAGATGGTGATTTTCCAGTTCGCTTTTTGTAGGTTTACCACATCCCATTTGGAGACGGTAAATATACACACGACCCGACTGGGACCTTTCAAAACTGGCGCAGACTGGCGCTGTGCAATTTTCGCTTCGCTTATTGGGCTCACCACATTGCCAGGATTTATTATATACATTTATATACCGCATGAACAAGTGCAACTTTGGTTTCCCCAAAACCAGTTGCAAAATCTAAATGGAAAACTGAACAAGGGCCAAAAACTGACCATAAACTGTACTAGTCAGCAGTTCTGTTCCAGTCCTTGTCTTGCTGCGCGTAGGTCTTGGCATTGTCAACGAAAATGCCTCCCGAAAGCTGGTTGGCTGGATGTGTTTTTTGGGTTCGTATCCCGTGACGCCCGAGTGCTCATGTAAGATCTAGGACCAACGAGCAGAGTTGTTCAAACATTTGAGGTAAATGGTTGTCATCCCATACATACCCTATGGATATCCCACCATTTGTCTATCTTATATCGACTTCATAGGGTATGTATGGGATATCTCTAATCCGGGTTGTACACCTCCTAGTCACTGGGGATGTGACCATGAAAATCCATCACACAAATCACTTAGCCGCTGCAGCCCGTTCAGAAACAACCACAAGTCTCAATGATCCTGATGGTTGCGAAATACTGCATCACCACAAGGATGGTTTTTCAACCCAAACAAAATAATGGGATCCTTACATGGGATGTTTACCACCTATCAACTGGCGCAGGGTTTCGCAACCATCCACTATATGTTGCAAACATTTAGAAGTTTCCTAAAATAGGGGTACCCCCAGTTCTCATCCATTTTAGATTGGCATTTTCCAATATAAACCATCCGTTTGTTGGGTATCCCCATGACTATGGAAACCCCCATGACTGGACATCTGGCACACTGGCAGTTCTTGTTGGCCATCCTCACCAGTTGATACGGATCACATCACTCCAATAACTCACTATGGTTTCTGGTACGCAAATAACGAACTAGTTACTGGGGCGAATCTAAACCAACTAACATACAAGGTGGTGCCCCCTAGATAGCTAAGTTGGTTTATAACTCCAATAACTATGGTTTATAGGTGATATATCTATAGTTAATGGGATTATAAACCAACTAACAAAACTGGGGGGCCCACATTGTAGTATGATTATGTTACTCCCATACATGAAAAGACCAATGAGCCAGCACCCCATCCCCCATTGTGTTTGTTTAATTCCACTAGGACACCATCAAAAAAGGAGGCATTCTTTGGGCACTGCTTCCCTCGCGAGTCTCCTGTGATTACGTTCATCATGGCCAGCACTGAAAACGCCACCTGAATCTGCAACGAGATGCTTTCACGACGGTTTGTTGGCTCACTTCAGGCACACGATTAACATGCTTCGCTGGATGTTGCTTCCAACTCTTAAATATGAAAAAACACATATATAATACCATTTGAAGTTAGATGCAAACATGTACAATGTGTATTTATATACAATACTAGTTCCATTAATCACCATTCATAATCATTAGTTACCATTATTCATCATTAATCACCATTGCTATGAATGATCATTACATCTACACAATGGCACCGTAGTTCGCGGGGCACATAGGCCGAGAAAACGATGGCCATCATCGGAGACACGTCGTCAATGAGAGGCTGCGCCATGTCCTTGCGCATGACATCAACGGGGAATGATAACCACGTGGATATCAGTGATGTAATAAATATAATTACTATGGATATTACTATAATTACATGGATCTTACTATATTACTATGGTATTAAGTATACTATATTACTATAGTATTTAGATAACCACTATAATTGATATATCCATAGTAATTATAGTATACTTAATTAATGGTAATTTCTATAGTATATCACCATTTGTGACTTAGAACTTTGCTAAGTAAGGTTTCTGGAGGATAAGTGCAGTTTATGGAGGATATCGGATATCACTATAATTATATAATGGTGATGTATTGTATCATCCATAAACTGATAGTTATATATTCCAGAATCTAACTAGTTATTTGACTTATAACTAAGTTTTATGGAGGATATATATGGATATATGAAATATGCCTATAGTTACTATAGTTAATGGGGTGAAACTAGACCAACTTATAACTTTCAGTGCGTAACTAGGCAACCACTCTTGGATTTCTGGTGGCCCACATCTTTGATATTGGTTGAAAGCAGCAAACATTGATACCTTCTGGGACTCCAACTCAGCTATGGAAAACTAAAACTATCTTGAAGAAGTAACTAATCTACTGTCACGGGCCATGTTCAACATGTTCCAAAGCTGTCTTTTGTGCCTAGATGATAAGTATAGTTGCTGCCCCAGTTAGAGATCCCTAAGTTGGTTCAACTATGAATTCATGGAAAACATATTGGACAAGTTCATCTGATCACTTACTTAACTCAAGCTGCCCAAGAAGGCGATATATAGGAGATTGACCACCTACGAACTTGCATATATATATATATATATATAATACCCCTTACTTGTTCCCTAGGATGCTTTACGTAGCATTTTATAGAGAAAATTGGTTGTCAAATGGTCCTCCGTCAGTCAACATCCAGACAGCAAGTGGGAACCCTCTATGAAATCACCTCTCCGTCATCTCTATGAAATGCTTCTCCGCAGACGACGCGTGTGCAAAGACACGCAGGGCGACAACCCGCAACAACCCAGTTATCCTCTATAAAATGCTGCTCCAATCAAGGTGTTGTCTTCGAAGCGCTGCTCCAATATGGCAAGACATATGTCCATAAAATGCCTTTCCCACAGGCGGTTGCTAACCCATCTGATTTGATTCAATGGCGCAGCGACGTGCAACTTGTTTGGCTATAGTATGTATAAGCCGGTATATGCCGGCAATACCCGGTAAGACATAGAGGGATTACCATGAAATTTTACCTTGGGGATGCAAAACAAAACACTTATAACATCCGCGGATCTCCCTGAGTCAGAGACAGCATTTTATAGAGACGTTTCCCGGGAATAGCAGGCTGATCTCCCCGGATGAGTCTCTATGAAATGCTGTTTCCGACTGGAGATGCCCCCTACCCGTCCATCCGCGGATCTCCCTTAGTCGGAGACAGCATTTTATAGAGACGTTTCCCGGGAATAGCAGGCTGATCTCCCCGGATGAGTCTCTATGAAATGCTGTTTCCGACTGGAGATGCCCCCTACCCGTCCATCCGCGGATCTCCCTTAGTCGGAGACAGCATTTTATAGAGACGTTTCCCGGGAATAGCAGGCTGATCTCCCCGGATGAGTCTCTATGAAATGCTGTTTCCGACTGGAGATGCCCCCTACCCGTCCATCCGCGGATCTCCCTTAGTCGGAGACAGCATTTTATAGAGACGTTTCCCGGGAATAGCAGGCTGATCTCCCCGGATGAGTCTCTATGAAATGCTGTTTCCGACTGGAGATGCCCCCTATACCCGTCCATCCGCAGATCTCCCTGAGTCGGGGACGGCATTTTATAGAGACGTTTCCCGGGAATAGCAGGCTGATCTCCCCGGATGAGTCTCTATGAAATGCTGTTTCTGACTGGAGATGCCCCCCTACCCGTCCATCCGCGGATCTCCCGGAGTCGGAGACAGCATTTTATAGAGACGTTTCCCGGGAATAGCAGGCTGATCTCCCCGGATGAGTCTCTGGAATGCTGATCTCTTTGAAATTTCTTTGTCCTCACCCCAGGGACTTCAAGATTTGCCTGGCTTAAATTCTTAGTTGGCTATAGCCAGTGGGCACTAGCCCAGGGATTTTAGATGGCTGGCCCAGCGGTATTTAATAAAGGTTGCAAGGCGCACGCGTTTGTTCGACTCAGGCCCTACAGTTGCAAGAATCACTGTGCATCCATGTGCATCCTTCAAACTGCCACCTACGGAATACCAAGAAAGTAAAGCCTCTATAAAATGCCTGTTCCATACAAGCCAATATATGCTCTGAAAGCATCTTAAAGATCAAGGTTGCCCCCGTTTCCCTCTATAAAATGCACTTTCCTTTCGCAACATGGTCCATAAATAATGGTAACATTTTGCAAAGAATCCCTCCTATAAAATGCATAATCTATCTGCAACGTCTTGTACCTCTCTATCATCTTTCATGCTCGGAAGGAAGCTCTCTATAAAATGATAAAATAGGGAGCTCTGGAGGGGCATTTTATAGACGACCAAGCCAGTTCTCTATAAAATGGGTCCCGGAACAGCATTTTATAGAGTCAAAGCATCGGCATTTTATAGAGGATCAACTTAGGGGTATTATATATATATATATATATATGGCTCTATCAATTGTATCGACCATATTTCCATATTTGCATTATTCTATCAATTGCAGTATATCACCCATATTTCCAGATTGTTGACAGTTTGAACCGTCTGATAAACCCCAAGTATCCACACAACACCACAAATCATTCCGTCATATTCCCATCAACAATCCCCATGTTTCTTGCTGAAATCAAACAGAATCATTCAAAATCTCCATGTTTCTACCGGTTGCTACCAAAAACGGTACCACTTGACCCACCAAACGTGGCGATCGAATGGGAAAATCGATGGTGTCCCATAGTGTTTTTCAGTAGCCAGATGACAGGGATAACACGTAGCAGACGTAGCATGTAGCTGGTGGTGAGACTGGATCTCAGTTCAATGCCCAGAGTTTGTTCCCATGTATTAGTTCTAGGATGAATGGGGACTGATATGGGGTTGAGATTTTCGTATTAGATATTAGCAACATCTAGGAAGTTAAGATGTTTCCTTCAACCAATCCATTGACCATAAAATCAGCAAAACTAAGTGGTGGTCTGATGCTGTGGATGGGCCAGCGGAATCGTGCACCAACAAAAGGATGGTTGAAACATGTTGAAACCCTATAAATAGTGGGATGTTTACCACCTACTTGGTGGTTCATCCCACGAATCCTAAGTGGGTTAGTTCACCCTGGTTTCGTTAATGGGCTAAATAGGGGCAATCTCCACTTATAACTAGGATTATAACCGACTTACTAACTGGGATGTTTACCACCGTTTTCAACTGGTGATTCGGATGGGCCGCTGGTTTCGCTGGCCCATCCACCGGGCCAATGCTAGTGGAAACCAAACCATGTCGATTCTCCTCTGACCACCCTGTTGAATCCCGCTCTTCCTATTGATTCCCATTTAAAAAAAAAAAAATCCCTATTGATTCCGATAAAAAATCCCATAAAATCCCTATTGATTCCCATTAAATCCCATAAAATCCCTATTGATTCCCATTAAATCCCATAAAATCCCTATGTGTTGATGGTTAAACCGGTTAAACCACAATTTCACATCCTTTGGGATTTTTTTCTGGTGCTGAAATCTTCCCCGGCCAACCACCTTTTTTCGTTTGTTTGCGTCTCCTGCCAATCCATGCCCCCCGAGATGCATTCCCACAAGGCCAGCGTGGCCACCCCAAGGTTGGCGAAGTACCTGGTGGATCGATGCCAAATCTTATGAGTTTAGCTGGTGAATGGACTAATAAATTAGAACTGGTTGGTGGTTAAAAAACCCATCTTGAAAAATATGAGTTAAAGTCAATGGGAAGGATGACATCCCATATATGAAACGGAAAATAAAAGCCATGTTTGAAACCACCAACCAGACAATGTGAGGCCCCCGGCCACAAGAGCTAAGTTGGTGAACTAATCACTCCAATAACTATGGTTTATGGTACTTATAACGAACTAGTTACTGGGGCGAATCTAAACCAACAAACATAACTGGGGGGGGCCCCACAGTGTACCAATCACAACAAAAGATTACTAAAGTACAGTTATGGACATGGCTATTAGTTATAACTGGTTATAAAATGTTATAAATGGGGTTATACGTTCCATCAATGGGGTGACTTAGCACTTATAACATCTTAGAACTGATACCCTCCAGTAAATTAACATAGACCCTGGCAGATGGGGGTTGGAAGATTAGTTTCCACTAAGAATGGGTTATTTTCAAGGTCTATCGTAATTTACCAGAGGGGTTTTTTGAAGGGCCATAACTGCACTAGTTACAACTTAGAGCCTATCAAACCAGCCGTTTCCATCTCCGTTCGGTAAAGCCGGGTCGTTGGATGTCGTGCCGTGCCGTATGACTGTGCCCGGCTACTTGGGGGTGCAGTTTCAGTGAACACCAGTGAACTATATAAGTGGATACCCTCTGGTAAACGTTTACGTAACGAACTGGAAAGATCCACCATGCTACTCATGGGTAAATCCACTATTTCTAAATGGCCATTTTCCAGTTCCCTTTTTGTATGTTTACCAGAGGGTAACCATTATCATTATAGGGATAATATATAGGGATTGTATCCCATCTTTTGGGAAGTATTACCATGCTCACGCCCAATGCCCCAACGATGTCGTGTACCTCTTAGGGGAACTTCTATGTACAGTAAACAGTTGCACAACTTGTGGTGACCCATAGGGGGGTTATGAACCAGCTTGTAACTCGATAAACACCGCCAGCTTTGTTTGGATCGCCACCAGGATAAACAAACAATATACACTACCCTCTGGTAAACTGTCACATAACAATGGAAAGATCCACCATTTTTCATGGGTAAATCCACTATTTCTATGGCAATTTTCAATAGTTTTTTGTTTTTTTGTATGTTTACCAGAGAGTAACACTGTTGACGCAATGCCATCAGGCCTGGTGCTGAAAACATGGTGAATCTTAGGCATACCTGCCAAAAACACATATTTTTTTCGCTGGTGAATGTACCATTTTTACCATAGGATCACTAACATAGCTATGAAAAATGGCCATAGAAATAGTGGATTTTCCCATTAATAGCATGGTGATGCATGGTGATTAAACAAACTAAAGTATACTGGTTGGTGGTGGTTTTAACCATCTTGAAAAAATATGAGTTCGTCAATGGGAAGGATGACATCCCATATATGAAATGGAAAATAAAAATGTTCCAAACCACCAACCAGTATACTAAAGTATCTAACCAAGGTTGACCCACAAAAGACACATCAAACCCAACTACAGGTTGGTTGCTGGGCTATCATGCCTTGCACATTGGATATTTCTGATGGAAATGGCAAGGTATCTGAATTGTTTAATCATAGATGGGTGAATATGTCCTATCATACCCTGAAAAGATATGACGAGGTGGTGCGCCCCCGGTGATGTGTGTGCTGCTTTATAATCCCCGTTAACTATAGTTATCAATATATATATATATAATATAATGTATAATGTGTGTAAAACAATTAAAAACACAGTCCCCCAAATTACCCTAAATAGTTGGTATCATCCATTCCCAAATGGGTGGTTTGTTATTGTTTTACCGACATTAATATATTTTTCATAATTAACCCTGAAGTATTGGGCTTATGTTCTCTAACTTAGCTAACGGCCTGGCACCAGGCAACCCTGCGCACCTTTCAAGCTGACTGTCAGAACCACTGCTGGAGCGATACTCATTGGCCTCAGCACGGCATGGGTAATAATCTATGTGGATCCAATGTGCTAATATATATATAATATATAATTTACAAAATAATATATTAATATATATAATACATATATAAATATATATAATACATATATAAATATATATAATACATATATAAATATATAGAACCAATTGACGATATGATGTTGTGGGTGTCTGTGTGAGTGCGTCTGAAAACTGGGGATTTACCCTCATCTCTTCCACCAAATAATCAGGACAGTGGTGAATTGACAAAACTATAGGGAAAACCCATGGAAAGCGGCGGAAAAAATGATCCTCAATCCTGATGAGTCCCCGGTAACTAGTTCGTTATAAATACCATGAAGATCCATAAATCATAGTGAAATTGGAGTTCTGTGAACCCCAACTTGGCTATCGTGGCCGGGGGCCTCACATTGTACGTATGTTCATTTGTATACTGGTCTTCGTTCATCGAAACTAGCCTGGAAGCATCTGGCAACCGTTTAAGCGTGGCAGCAAAGATCTGTTTCAACAAACAATCACCTAATCATCCCCAGAAAACATAAACTCAAAAGCAAACATCCATGCAAGGTGGTGCCCCCCCAGTTATGTTTGTTGGTTTATAATCCCACGAAAACTATAGATATATCACCTATAAACCATAGTTATTGGAGTTATAAACCAACTTAGCTATCTAGGGGGCACCACCTTGTGATCATCCATGATTAATTAACAACTTCAAGAATTTTCTAAATATAACCGGTCACTTGTGATCATCATAAACATGACTCGAAAAATCGAAGAATCGAAGAAGTCCCACACCACGTGCGCTTTTATTCGGACCCACAGGTGTGCGCCGCTACGGTTGCCAACGGCTTTATAGGTCTTGTATGGCATAGCTACCGATCCCACCTACCACAAGTCCCTGGGCGTGCCATTGATGGTGCTGGTATGTGCAAAAAGAGATAGGAATAAAACATGTTTGAAAGTGCCAGTCCAGTGATCAACACATAAACGCAAAAGCAGATCTATCTGGCTGAATTACAGTGATCTATCTTGGGATGATTACTCTTGCTAAGTTTTGATAAGTATCATCAATCGTGATGCGTTTTGTGACGTCGTTTGAATGGTGTATCCATCATACATACACATATATATATAATGTTACATTAGCCGCCACTGTTGACGATGTTTAACACCTTTGAACCACTACTGGTTGTTCATCTCATTTACTCATGATTATTTACCACACTATAGAAGAGTTGTAACCCCGTTTATGAAATGATAACTCCAAATAAATAACCAAAACAAAAAACTGGTTTCTAGGGTTAACAATTTAATTAATCACCATTAATAGCATTTATTTAGCAACCATTGTCAATGAACCCATTATCAAACATTATCAACCAATTATTAACCACCATTCAATCACCAGGAATTAATTGATTGTAATTTATCATCTTCACTAACTTGATGAATCACCTTTAACCACTGTTAACCACAAATGAGCTATTGTTGACAAATGATTGATTGTAACTATTGGTAATTAATCACCATTATTAATACACTATTAAAAGACATATGGATTAGTTAGTCACCATTATTCATTAAACAACTATTGTCAGCATTGTTTGTATGATTATAATAACTACATATGATTGTCAACCATTATCAAACACTATTTCTAGCTACCATTATTGATTATAAAACTATTGAGTATCAACATTGACTATTGTTATATAACCATTATCAAACGCTAATTAAAAAAAAAAAGTATAATAACTACATATGATTGTCAACCATTATCAAACACTATTGTTTTTTTTAAGTAACCATTCATCTGGCTCTTCACTGGGTTCCCCTCACAATTTGAGTCATCGCCACCGCCACGGCATAGATCCTAGGGGCGGATTCAACGTAAATAAAGTGGTGGGATGAACCACCATACGTTTGTGAGGCCCCCCAGCTGGATGGTTTTGAATGGAAAATTATATGTGGGGTCCCCAAAACATTAGAAAATGGCCCAGTCGAAATAGTGGATTTTCCCATTAAAAAAAAACATGGTGATTTTGCATAGTTTTCCTAAACATTGTTTGTTGGTTTGGATTCGCCTCAGTAACTAGTTCGTTATTTGCATACCATAAACCATAGCGAGTTATTGGAGTGATTAGTGAACCCCAACTTCGCTATCGAACGGGGGCCTCACATTGTATGGATGTTTTATGGATTTTGAATGTGTTTAACACCAATTCACAAGACGTATCCACGTTAATTAAATGTTAACCCAACAATAGGTGGATTTTTTGAATTTTGAATGTTCTAACATGGGATTAACCGTTTTTTTTTGGGGGGGGCTCCGCTTTGTACCCCACTGAGGATGGATTACACAGGTTTACCGTGAAACCTAAGAATGACCAAACATGATGGGGTCCAAAAATGTGGATAAAACATACACAAACACATACATGGGAGCCGCTCTCGCTCTGCTGCCCGTTCTGCCTCTAGCCTCTGATTGTCTTCAGCTAGACGACTTATTTGGTCTTCTGACTCTTGTGTGATCTGTTGTTCGCGCGCCTATCTCGTTGTGAACCTCTTGTTCAAGCTGTTGTTGTGCATGATACAATGTGGGGCCCCAAAGTTATAAGTTGGTTTATAAGCCCTGGTAACTAGTTCGCTATTTGAGTACCATAAAAAAAAATGAAATTGGAGTGACTAGTTCACCCCAACTGAACGCTATCGTGGCCGGGGCCTCACATTGTATGATAATTACTAAGACATTGGGCAGTAATCCCATCACCCTAATGATCCCCATCACAATAATCACCTATAATCACCATTATAAACACCATTATAATCACCATTGTGGTGTCTTGTTCAACTATCTCAATGCCGTTTTTCTCGCCCTGTAGTTGGTGGAGAAAAAAAACGATTGGATCTTCTGAAGCTCATCAGGACCTGTTTCACATGGATGGGTCAACATCGATTCTTGCCATATTCTTGCCATATTTGGGGGGAATAACATGGAATAACACCATCCATGAACCAGCTATCAACCAGGTTAGCTGGTTAGCTTAACGGGATAGGCTACAGCTTACGGGACCCTTAAGATCCTTACTCTACGCAGCCCGGCCAGTGGATTCACGGGGGCTTCACGAATCTCTTGTTGAACCATTGACCCAATGGGTATCCAGGATAGGACGCTTCCATAGAACATACCCTCTGGTTATGTCAAAATAGCTATTGAAAATGGCCGTTTATAGTGGATTCACCCATTGAAAATGGTGATTTTCCATAGTTATGTAAACGTTTACCAGAGGGTATTCATCAAAGATCTCTGGGACTCACAAAGAATGATCTGGTTGGTGGTTGACTGCCCTACCCCTCTGAAAAATATGAGTTCGTCAATGGGAAGGATTATCACATATATGAAATGGAAATAACATGTTCCAAACCACCAACCAGTTTAATATCGAAAATCCAAGTGTTTGAGCCTGAATGGACATGGTTTCTCCATGTTTGTCCCTTGGAATTGAGATCTAAAAAAAGTGGGATGGAAAGAACGATAGGTGTGTCCCAAATTCCAGGGTTTATCCTCAAATTCCATATGGAGGTTATATCGAAAATCCAAGTGTTTGAGCCTGAATGGAATTGGTTTCTCCATGTTTGTCCCTTGGAATTGAGATTTAAAAAAAGTGCGATGGAAAGAACGATAGGTGTGTCCCAAATTCCAGGGTTTATCCTCAAATTCCATATGGAGGTTATATCGAAAATCCAAGTGTTTGAGCCTGAGTGGAAATGGTTTCTCCATGTTTGTCCCTTGGAATTGAGATCTAAAAGAAAGTGGGATGGAAAGAACGATAGGTGTGTCCCAAATTCCAGGGTTTATCCTCAAATTCCGTATGGAGGTTATATCGAAAATCCAAGTGTTTGAGCCTGAGTGGAAATGGTTTCTCCATGTTTGTCCCTTGGAATTGAGATCGAAAAAAAAGTGGGATGGAAAGAACGATAGGTGTGTCCCAAATTCCAGGGTTTATCCTCAAATTCCATATGGAGGTTATATCGAAAATCCAAGTGTTTGAGCCTGAGTGGAAATGGTTTCTCCATGTTTGTCCCTTGGAATTGAGATTTAAAAAAAGTGGGATGGAAAGAACGATAGGTGTGTCCCAAATTCCAGGGTTTATCCTCAAATTCCATTTGGAGGTTATATCGAAAATCCAAGTGTTTGAGCCTGAGTGGAAATGGTTTCTCCATGTTTGCCCCTTGGAATTGAGATCTTAAAAAAAGTGGGATGGAAAGAACGATAGGTGTGTCCCAAATTCCAGGGTTTATCCTCAAATTCCATATGGAGGTTTCCTAAAAATGTGGTACCCCTAAATCATCCATTTTAATAGGATCTCCATGAGAAAGCACCCAGCTATTGGGATATGCCCATTTGTGGAAACCCCCATATCAAAAAAGCAAACTATTTGGGGGGGTTGTATGCGCCCAACTGAACGAAATCGAAAGCAACAGGTGTACTGCGCTTGGCTGACTTACCTTAGGATGCAGATTCCATCCATCTAGGATATACACCAGTTGGTTATAGGCAGTTATAGGGACTTGTACTACCTGATTTACTGGGGATGATGATAACCCATAGTAAGGAAACCGTTTTCAACCAACTAGTGTAGTGAGATGGGATAGGGGTATTTTTAATGGCACATCTGTATCCAGGATAATTATACCAGTTAGCTAATGATAACTGGTTGGTGGTATACCTACCCCTCTGAAAAATATGAGTTCGTCAGTTGGGATTATGAAATTCTCAACTGAGTAGAAAAATAATCCATTCATGTTCCAAACCACCAACCAAACAATTATTGCGCGAGATACCAGTTATAAGTACTAACAAGTCACCCCATGGTGTATTGCCTTAATCCAATTGAAAGAACCATAACTAGTAGCCATGGCCATAATTGTAGTGATGAACTTCCCAGGAATCGTAAGTAGGTTAGTTCCATGATTGTCCCATGTATCTTGGGACTTGGGATAATCATGGGAGATGAATGGAATACAACTCACAAGATTTCAGGACGTACGTTTTGTCTGGCAGCGTTTTTTTTTTTTTTTTTTGTAAGACGCTAAACCATTTCCACAACTCCCAACAGAGGTTTCTTATTGGATATGTATATGTATATATGTATGTATGTATATATATATATGTATATATGTGTATGTGTATATATATATATATATGTATATGTATATATATATATATGTATATATATAAATACATATGTATAAATATATATATATGTATATATATACACATATATACATATGTCCTTATGACTGGGATGATCTAAAATAACACACACAATCATGGTTGGTTAATGGGATGGTTTATATATGGCATTGGCGGAATACCACCGTCCTTGGGACAGGATGCATCCCTAGTGCTATGCCATAGCTGCTACGCGAGCCATCATGATCCCCATTCAGAATACCATATATGTTGAATATAATAATATATATATAACTAACATAACTGTGGAAAATCACATTTGTTTCATGGGTAAATCAACTATAAATGACAATTTTCAATAGCTATGTCAGCTATGTAACAAATTACCTGAGGGTATATTATATATATATATATATTTGTATATAGAGATCCCGTTGATAATCCCATTAATATCCCATTAATAATAACTCATGATGATAGTAAGAGTTGTACAGTAGTAGCTAATGATTCATAATGGTATTATACCCTCTGGTAAGCGTTCACGTAACTATGGAAAGATGCACCATTTTATAGCTGGGTAAATCCACTATTTCAATGGGACATTTTCAATAGCAAACTGTTAGTTTACCAGAGGGTATAATATATGTAAATATATATATATAGAGAGATCTCATTAATATCCCATTAATAATAACTAATAATCCCATATGATTATATGTATATATATATATCATTCATAATCCCATTCTATTCCCATTGATAAACCATGAGGACCCCCCATTCAGGTATGATCTTCCCATCACCGAGCCCGAAGATCAACTCATCTGCGACTCAGCGTCAGCATGGAGAACAAGAGCGTGGCCCAGAAGAGCGGTTTCAAGGACGCCACAATTGAGGACACCATGGTACCTCCAGCGGTCGTTCACAAACAGTGCAAACAGGCAAGTCATTACCTTTTAAATGGACCTACAAGTATGTCATTAGCCTTTAAAAACAAGTTCAATATGTATGTGTATATATATATATGTACAAACCATATAATTGTTGGACTTAACAAGCAACTTGGCTATCGTTTGGGGGCCCACATTGTAAGATTTCTAAGATTTGGATGTCTTCCACGGAAGGCGATCTTGGTTGTCAAATTCACACCATGTTTCATAAATGTTCCCACAATAAAGCAACAAATAGCACATAAACTTAGGGACAGCATCTTCAGTTAAGCTCCTAGTTATAAGTCAGTAAGTCACTCCCTTTATGGTTCACAATCATTCCGTTTATAACAGTTTATAACCATTCATAACCAATTACTCTCTGGTAAACTAACATAACTGTAGAAAATCACATGTGTTTCATGGGTAAATCAGCTGTAAATGACAATTTTCAATAGCTATGTAACAAATTACCAGAGGGTATATTATATGTATATATAGAGATCCCATAAAATAATCCCATTAACAATATATCCCATTAATATCCCATTAATATCCCATTAATATCCCATTAATATCCCATTAATAATATTTAATAATCCCATATGATTATAGATACACATATATATATATATATGTATCCCTTTCATAATTCCATTTTTTTCCCATATATAATCATTTCTTAGAACCATTTATACCTGCTATTTCGGGCCATAACTGTTGTAGCTCTTCACCATCCGCCATTTTTGTCAAGCCGCGCCCCGCCACCCACCCCCTTGGGGGGTCACGAAGCTCGACCACGAGGTGCAAGACCCGGGCTAAGCGCATGATTCGCACAACACCTCAGCAGGGCGATCTCCCGCCGGTAGAAATCATGGCAAGTTGAAGAGTTGTTCATCGGAAAATCACCATCGTTACAATGTGAGGCCCCCATGGGATAGCTAAGTTGGTTTATAACTCCAAGAACTACGGTTTATGGTACTTATAACTGTAGTTACTGGGGCTTATAAACCAACTTATAACTGGGGGGCCTCACATTGTACCAAACATATACCCTTTGGTAAACCAACATAACTATGGAACATCACATTTGTTTCATGGGTAAATCAACTATAAATAATGAATTGATGTTAATCATAGTTGAAGTCAATGACTGATATAGACATGAAGTTATAGTTAATGGATTTGTCATCATTAGTCAATATTTTTGATGGATTTTCCATAGCTATGTCAATCATTGCCCTATGTCTTGTACCAGAAGGTACAGTTATGGCCCAGCTAAAATAGACATAAATGGAACGAAACAACTCCTGTAACAACTCCTATAACTATTTATATATATATATATATTCACCATGAAATAAACTCATAAATAATAACTGTTAAGGGTCAGAATTGTAGTGACCCACAGTGAGATGTTTGTTCGTTACAAAGGAAAAACACATGACTACTATATAGATCAATACTTGGTGGTTCATCCCAGGAATCGTACGTGGCTAACCCGAGTAATAAATGGACATTCCCCCTACAAAACACCCAGTTATAACCAGGCTTATACCCTCTGGTAAACTAACATAACTATCGAAAATCACCTTTTTGTAATGGGAAAACTCACTATTTCTATGACCATTTTCCATAGCTATCTTAGTTTACCAGAGGGTAACCTACTTACTAGCTGGATAGATGTGGAGAAGCAATGATTTCCCTATGTGAGTTTACTGGAGGGTAACCATGGGAACAATATAATTCAAGCTATAACATGACTTACCCTTTGTAATCAAACATGGCTGGCTAAAACATCCCAGATCAATGGAGGTTTACATGGGAAAATCATCGAACTAGTTAATAGATGATATTTCAGCTGGTTGGTGGTATACCTACCCCTCTGAAAATACAGTATGAGTTCGTCAGTTGGGATTATGACATTCCCAACTGAATGGAAAGTCATAATCCATTCATGTTCCAAACCGCCAACCAGTCAGAAAACCATCTTTGATTGCCGGGTGACTTTGATGCTCCAACCAAAATAGGGATTCAACTAGTAGACATCAAACTATCAAACTGTGGTTTTGAATCTACAAAAAATGGGACAATTTCAATCGACATTTCGCCATTAAAACCATAACAATAACCATAGAGAAAGTGTCATTTGGTGACACTTCCCATTTCCCATTTCATGACATGTCACCATAGAAACCCAAAGTGGGGTTTATGTATGGAAACGTCACCATAGAAACTGCGTTTAAGCAACAACAAGCTGGAAGCTTCGGCTACAAATGGAGAACCAACGTGATTTCAATTTGGGCGTCATCCATTGGGTGCAGTTATATGATATGGCCCCGAAAAACTGGCCTAACTAACAGTTATACATGGAATCAGCAAACCTCCAATTTCACTAACCCATATACTCCATGGTGATGGTATATTTACCTACATTTGGGTGATTTTGTTCGGGCAAATGTTGGGATTCATATTCCATACATGGAGCATATGGGTAAGGTTATGTATCTATCCCATGTCTAACCCTCTGTTGAGCCAAAACGGGATCGAGGATTCAGCGAATCGCTCCTGGCTGAATCCTCCCTGGGCGTCCCATCGCAATGTGCGCAGAATGCGCAGGAAACCAAAATTCATGACCTCGGGAGTAACACAACTAATATCTATGGCAGTTATGTATCCCATATCTGGGTGAGAAAATATCTGGGTTTTTGTGGATTAAAAATGATTATAAGATATTATAAGCTCTATATCCCATATGCTCCATGGTATATTTAGCTTCATAACTGGGTGATGAATTGTGGCAAATGTTGGGATTCATATTCCAGCACCATGGGTTGCATATGGTTATAGTAGGTTATAGCTACAATGTGGGGCCCCCCAGTTATGTTTGTCGGTTTAGATTCGCCCCAGTAACTAGTTCGTTATAAGTACCATAAACCATAGTTCGTGATGTGAACCCCAACTTAGCTATCGAACGGAGGCCTCACATTGTATGTGATATATCGGATTGGGTTTCAAAACTAGCAAACGTTTTACGGGAGGGCAGCACCGGTTGGCGGGCGTATGCTTTTTGTCTCAGTTTAACAAAAAAACGTGAGGGTATCACTTGACCAGCTTGAGAGCATCCAGAGAGATGCCATTGCAGATTCCAAATTCTGCTTTCATACGCTGGTATTTTGTTACATAGCTATTGAAAATGGCCATAGAAATAGTGAGTTGTCCCATTAAAAAAGGTGATTTACCATAGTTACAATGTGACCCCCCAGTTATAAATTGGTTTACAAGCGCCAGTAACTATAGTTGTAAGTACCATAAACCATAGTTATTGATTTTCCCATTGAAAATTGTGATTTTCCATAGTTATCTTAGCTTACCAGAGGGTAATACGCTGGATGGTGGTTGCGAAATCCCCAGCTGAAAACGGTGCTAAACATCCATCCCAGTTTATCCCACTATTTTGTTTGGCTTTCAACATGTTTCAACAATCCTTTTGGTGGTGGATTTCGCAACCATCCACAGTATGTTTTAATTTCAATGGGAAGCTATGGCTGTTGGATAATAAGCCTCTTCAACTGTGCATCTACCACCAAAACTACATTTTTTATCCGAATGATTGAAGGTTTTTTTTGTGCGGCTCCCATGACGGTGTTTTATTGATCACCTCTTATTAAACCTAGTATAGAAAGTTATATAAAGTTTTAAAGTTCGACCATGTTAGACCAAGGTCCCCACTGACAACCACCAGGGAGTTTAAATGTTTAAATGGTACTGCTTACCTGGTTGTTGATAGTGTCAAACCCCTGGATAAATTTGGGTTGGAAGTCACAAAACTTCGATGGTTTTGGAGTGATTCCCTACTTGCGTGGGACCGATTACAAAATGGTTAAGCCACACCCATATGCTCCATGTATGGTATATTTACCTACATTTGGGTGATTTTTAGAGCAAATGTTGGGATTCATATTCCAGCACCATGGTTCGCATATGGGACATGTATCCGGAGTATATCCAACCACCTAAAACTGGCTTGTATGTTACGATATGGTTCGTATAGCGCGAAAAGTACTCACCATCATCGTGACGTCGCGGAACTCACCTCATAGGTTGATTCAGCCAATCCTGGACTTTGAAGTGACCATCCTCCTATCGCTGTGAACATAACTCCAATAATCATGGTTTATGGTACTTATAACTATAGTTACTCGGCGAATCTAAACCAACTTATAACTGGGCTCATCTGGTTGGTGGTTGACCTACCCCTCTGAAAAATATGTTCGTCAGTTGGGATGATGAAATTCCCAATATATTGAAAAATCATCCAAATGTTCCAAACCACCAACCAGTTGAACCACCATACGCAAAATATTGGTCAGTTGAGATCGTTATTCCCAACTGAATGGAAAATAATCCAAATGTTCCAAACCAACAAGCAGAATAAAGTGCAAATCACCGTGACCTCAGCCCATCTTCGCAATTAAAAATGCCACTTCGTCGAGTTTCGCCGAAATCCGGATCTGTGGCCACAGCTCAAGCCAGGATCACTGTTCTGCGGCCCTCTTCCATGTGGAAAAAAAATCTCGCCATGCTCCGTCTTGGCATTCTGGTGGCATTCTCGCCCATGAAGTGGAAAAGACCGAGAGTAAATCTGAGGAATTTCCAAATCCAGCCTGAGATTTAACCCTACAACTCGGGGAAATAACCTTGCTCACTTATTTTCAGCTCGGTTGTCGCCTCCCTTTTGAAATAGTGGCCATGCATACGTTGGAATGCCCCTGACTGCAGCATTTTGGGACTCCTGCTTCTGATTCCGAAAGCACTTAGCCGTCAGGCATCGTCCCGGAGACATATTTTCACGGTTAGATATATGTTTACTGGATAAGACTACAATGTGAGGCCCCCAAGATAGCTATATAAGTTGGTTTATAACTTCAATAACTATGGTTTATGGTACTTATAACGAACTAGTTACTGGGGCTTATAAACCATGATATTCATTCGTAAACTCATCAGTCTATCCCATATGCAACCCATGGTGCTGGAATATGAATCCCAACATTTGCCCGAACAAAATCACCCAGTTATGTAGGTAAATTGTAGGTAAATATACCAGCACCATGGGTTGCATATGGGATTTGTTTGACTGAGAGATTTGCGACTCAAAACAACCATCCAATTTGTGGTTCCAATTTTTATAAGAACCCCAAATTTAAGCGGCTGCATGAGTAGCCACTGACATATTACTCAGCCTGTCCGACAAGTGATGGTCTTGGTCCCTCTGAACTCCAAGTCCTCACCCGTTGCATGGCTATACAATTCATTTATACAATGTGAGTCCCCCATTCGATAGCAAAGTTGGTGAACATGAATGACATGACTCCAATAACTCTGGTTTATGATACGCAAATAACGAACTAGTTACTGGGGCTTATAAAGCAACTTATAACTTTGGGGCCCCACATTATGTATATATATATATATGTAATATCCCTGAGTCAGGGTTTTATGCTAACTGAGAATGTCAAACCGATCACTCATAAACCCCTGATTTGCCTAGTTGGGAGCAAACCCTCATCAATCAAAGTACCAACACATAACCTTGGTGGTGTGTTAGTTCCCCACAAAGTGTGCTAAAGTGTAAATGGAAACATGGTGTTTGTCCATGTTTGCTGCTCAAGAAACAATGGTGTCTGGCTACAATCCATCTATTCAAAGCAAAACAATCACCTATTACCCTACAATTTAACAAAGCTGGTATTTCTGCCGCATGCTCCATTTATACCAAACAAACCAAGTATGAAACTATCTGTTCGAGTTTTTTTTTCCAGTTGTATGTTGGCTCAATCTCCATTTGATGATGGTTAGTTCTATTATGATAAATTCACATTTCAACGTGGCAATTTCTCCGTTTATGTCGGTTGTTGATTCATAAATCGTGGATACTCAATGCATCTGTCTAATATATATATATATACATACACACGGACATAAATTTGTCCTGAAATTTATAAAAGTAACTATGTCCTACAATTTATATAAGTAACGAACCAATGATCATGGCATTGTCCAAAACCCTCTGACAAAACCCTCTGCTATTCCTGTACACTGGTTGCTTAAAAGGAATTCCCAAAAGTGATGATAATTCCAAATATATCCAAATATTGGGAAGTACAAGTATAACCGTGTACAATGTTCAAACCATCATTTTGAAAGTAAAGTCCTATTTTGACCACTGTAGTCAACCATTTGATAACCAACCAACCATCATTTCTCCAGCTGTTTCGTCTTCCCCTCGTCCGTGGCTTCTATTTTGGGCGGACGGCCGTGCCATTGCGGTGCCCGCCGAAAGCCATGAAGAGGAGGTCGACGGCCTCAGGCGCAAAGTAGAGGTCAGCATCCCACAAATTGAAGCTGGATCACAAAACTGAATGGACATATGCATAGAAAATGATGTGTATATGTATAGATATATATATATATGTATATATACACACTGTATGTATGTATAATATATATATATATATACAACATAAATATAATACTTGGACTTGCTTAAGTTGGGGGGTCAGAAAAGAACATGGCAAAAAAAAACGATGGCAGATTCCCGAAATGTAGTTGTTCCATTGGGGATCATCTCATTTGTGGCTGGCTGGTGTACAGCTTTGATGCTCCTACAGAAATGGCGGGGGGGTGAGGAACAAACGCAGGTAATGATCAATTAAGGATGTTTAGTAAGCTTTGAATGTGGAAAAGTTGGGTTTGTTTCCTCAGGTATATGAATTGGAAACCCCATGTAAAGGACTTACCTCAGCAGGATTATTGAACAGTTTCTAAATTGCTTGATATATACCTTCAAACAAAAACACTTTGTGGGGCAACAAATGTTATTATGAGATATGTATGTTGTTCCATTCTAATTGGGCTTGACTCTCCAGATATCATATTCCCCATCGTTCCTGTTTTCTCAGTGGCTTTACTTCATAGAATGTGTGGTAGATATCTGTCACGCTATGTCTTAGATACTGCATCTTTGTTTTAGCTGGTTAGCATATACCCTCTGGTAATTTAACATACCTGTAGCTATTGAAAATGGCCCATGTATAGTTGATTTACCGTTTTTAAAGATGGTGATTTTCCAGTTCGCAAATTGTAAACGTTTACCAGAGGGTATATACTAAACATATTCAAGTACAGCTGGTTGAAAATTACACCTGTCTGACAGCTGCCTAAATCCAACATAGCTATGGCTATTGATAGCCGAAGTGTCTGGGGATTGGCCAAAAGGGTAATTTCAAAAAAAAAACATGTCCATCACCTTTAATCTGGGGCCCCGTTTAACAAAGTCGACTTAAACAACTTGGTTACCTCTATGGAGGATATGACTATAGCATTCATGGTGCAAATCTAAACCAAACATATCACTGGAGGCCTCACCTTGTATGATTCTTCAGTTGCGGGTAATGTACAAGTAACATAACTGTTGACGCCATGTGTTTTCATGGCTGAATATAGATGATTTTGCCAGCTATAAAGCATTCTAAAGCTCCATTTAGTTCAAGCCATATTTGAGTACTCCGGAAGGCAATTCGAATGATACATCTGGGTAAAATAAAACGACCTCACTGTTCTCCCTCACTCGAATAATGGTTAGTAAGGGATAAGTATCCCAATAGTCGGCCCCATTTCAAGTCAGTCAACTAGTCAAATTTATCCGGATATATCCTCAACCCTATTATATAAATCCCGTTAAATCCCAATAAATCAAATTAAATCCTGTAAATCAACATAGAATCAACGTGTTTACCTACATGTCTTGGCCACTCAGAACGGCGCTGAAAAAAACATGGCCCCCGCCTGTTCAAACCACTGCAAGCCCACGACGAGAAAGTCGAAGATGTTCCATCTGAGGGCACGGATTTTTTTTTGTAAGTGACTTGCTGGTGAGGCACGCAATGGCATGTTTAATGGGAATTCATGGGGTGTCGGTTTTGATATGGCATTTCATTGGGTTTAACGGGATTTCATGAGGTTTTAATGGATTTTCAGGGGGGTTCATTGGGTTTTAGTCGGAGTTCATGGGGTTTAATGGGATATCATTAGGTTTTGATGGGGTTTCATGGGGTTTAATTGGGTTTCATGCGATTTAATTAAGTGTCAATGGCATTTCATTGGGTTCTAATGGGATTTCATTGGATTTTAATGCGATTACATGGGCTAGTAGATTTTGTATAGTTAAACAGCCATTGTATAGTTACAAGATGGTGCCACCAGAAGTTCTAAGCTGGTTTATAAACCATCGGAACTATACGTACAATGTGGGGCCCCCGTTCGATAGCTAAGTTGGCGAACAGAACTACAATCAATAGGGTTTATGGTTGTTATAACTATAGCTAGATGGGATTGTAAACCATAAAAAACCATAATTATAGTTAGTATTACAAACTATAGGGTTAGTCTAACTATAATCCATAACTTTAGTTGTTTTATAACTAGAGGGCCCCACATTGTACCATAAACCCAACAGATCCCATCACGCTTGCGCCGGGAATTCGCATCTCATCTTACTCTTTGGTTGGTGAAAAATGGAGGTTTCCACCATGGGGGTCCCCAATAGCTGGATGGTTTATCATGGAAAATCCTATTCTGGTTGGTGGCTAAAAACAACCATCTTTAAAAATGATCGAGTTAAAGTCAATGGGAAGGTTGACATCCCATATATGAAATGGAAAACAAAAAATGTTTGAAACCACCAACCAGTTTTACTCTTTGTTTGACAGCTTTCCCATTATATATACCATATGCAACCCATGCTGCTGGAATATGAATCCCAACATTTGCCAAGAAGTCACCCAGTTATGTAGGTAAATATACATGCACCATGGAGCATATGGTATTTATATATAGCTTATAATCACCAAATAATCTAGAATAACTCAGATATTTTCTCCCCAAAAACATGACAAAAACCATCGCTCCAAGCATCCCATCGCGGTCAGAAAAAGTCGCCTCCAATCGTTTCCGCAGAAGAACTCCGCCAGGCCGTGAACGTAGAGCCTATGTCAAAAATCCGGCAGTTTAAGTGGTGAAGAAATGGTACAGCTGCCTGGATATACACCAGTTGGTTATAGGCAGTTATAGGGACTTGTACTACCTGATTTGCTGGGGATGATGATAGCCCTTAGTAAGGAAACCGTTTCAACCAACTAGTATAGTGAGACGGGATAGGGGTATTTTTAATGGCACATCTGTATCTAGGATATACCAGTTAGATAATGATGACTGGTTGGTGGTATACCTACCCCTCTGAAAGTCATATGAGTTCGTCAGTGATTATGAAATGCCCAACTGAATGGAACAATAATCCATTCATGTTCCAAACCACCAACCAGACAATTATGGCCCGAGTTATACCAGTTATAAGTTATAAGTACAAACAAGTCACCCCATATTTATGGTTTATGTATAATCCCATTGAAATAACCACCATCATTAATCATTATTAACAACTATTAACCATTATTAACCACTATTGATCACCATTAATCACCTTTAATCACTATAGAAACTGCACTAAAACCTATTAGAAACCATGAAGTCTGTCATAACTGTGGTGATGGACTTCTCAGGAATCGGAAGTAGGTTAGTTCACCCAGCATTACCGCTACAGTCAACGCCCATTGAAATCACCAGAACTATACTTGGTGGTTCATCCCTTAGTAAGTGGTCTATAACCCTAGTTATAAGTGGACTAACCCTACTTAGCCCATCGAAATAACTAGGGTGAACTAACCTACTTAAGTGGGATGAGCCACCACCATTCTACTGATCATAATTGGTTCATAACCCTGGTGATCGGCTTCGTCTCCGAAAAACAAGTGGCTTATCCCATGGATGAATTCACTTTGGTTATTAACTATGGTGAATCTGATCTGATCTGTCAAAACATCTAATTTTAAGCTGGTGAATGGACAAAATTCAATTGCAAACAATTAACGCACTAAAGTATCTAGCCAAGGTTGATCCAATTACGGTTACCTTCCGATAAAGTCATGAATGGTGAATGGAATCTGGTAGTTTTTAGTACTGGTGGGTAGTTCGCCACCAAGTATTGATGGATATTGATGGTTTTGCCGCTAATTCCATTGGGATTTCTAGGTAGTCACGCTTCCATCATCTAGGAATCTATGGATTGATGAATAAAGCTCCCAAAGATGGGCAATCTATGCAAGTCTTGACCCAGGCACAAAGGGGTGATTGATTGCTAGTTAAGTTGGTGTATAGCCAACATAACTGTTGGATTGACTATTTATTGAACTAGTTGATGCGGTTTACAAACCACCAAACATGGCTGGGGGGGGCGAAACCAAGTGGTTTCATGCTCACAATTCAAACATATGATCGTAAATTTTGGATCATATCCCGATAGTCTGACATGGCTTGAACAAGCAACCATAGGTGGAATTGTCAAGAAAAAAACTGAGATTAAATTACTTTACTTCGTGTGATCCCCACCATGACATTTATACGTTTTGTTACTGGCAAATCTTCTGACATTCTATCTGGCATATCTTCTGGCATTCTATTTGGCATTCTATCTGGCATATCTTCTGGCATATCTTCTGACATCCTGTCTGGCATTCTATCTGGCATTCTATCTGGCATATCTTCTGGCATATCTTCTGACATCTTATCTGGCATTCTATCTGGCAAATCTTCTGGCATTCTATCTGGCAAACATTCTGGCACTTTATCTGGCATACCTACTGGCATCCTTCTGGCATTCTATCTGGCATATCTTCTGGCGCTCTATCTGGCATATCTTCTGGCATATCTTCTGACATTTTATCTGGCATATCTTCTGGCATTCTATCTGACATGCTATCTGACATTCTATCTGGCATATCTTCTGGCAATCTATCTGGCTTTTGAGGTCCAGCGGTGCGCACTGAGCTCGGAAGGCCCCAGGTTGAGGTCCAGCGGTGTGCACTGAGCTCGGCAGGTCCCAGGTTGAGGTCCAGCGGTGCGCACTGAGCTAGGAAGGTCCCAGGTTGAGGTCCAGCGGTGCGCTCTGAGCTCGGCAGGTCCCAGGTTGAGGTCCACTGAGCTGGGAAGGTCCCAGGTTGAGGTCCAGCAGTGCGCACTGAGCTCGGAAGTTGGCGAAGAGCTTGGCGAAGAGTTGGCAAGGCGGAAGTGGGGGTGGAAGTTGATGCAGGCATGGTCGAGGAGAAACTGGAGGAGGAGGCGGAGGAGGAGGAGGAGGCGGAGGAGGCGGAGGACAACAGCTCTGATAAAATCTAACAACCCTCACCTGGCAGGTGGGGAACAAGGATTTGAAGCTTGCAATTGAAAACACATCTCTCAATCCAAGTTTCATCTGATATACTGGTTGGTGGTATACCTACCCCTCTGAAAGTCATATGAGTTCGTCAGTTGGGATCATTCTTCCCAACTGAATGGAAGGTCATAATCCATTCATGTTCCAAAGAACCAAGCAGTTTTTTAAAGTAACATTAAAAACTATTTATAGTCGAAGGAAGTTTAGAAGTCAAACTTTCGACAATATGGACAGATGAAAAGCAGAGCAGGGAAGAGGCAGAGAGAAGGGAAAGATTAGAAGAAAGAAGGGTAAGAAGAAAGAAGATGCAGATGCGTGAAAAGGTAGGATAGTCGCGAAACACTGTGTTTTTCCAATGATTTGGGGCTCCGGAGGGTCGAGCAGTAGGCTCGCTAAAGCGGCGGGTGCGGAGCCAGCTGGCCAGATGAGAGATGAAAAATTGCACGCCGTTGTGGCGCGAAGCACATTTCCAAGTCAAAATGTACAAAACACACCATTGTCGGACCACTTTTGGAAGTTGCAATGTCGAAAAAGTGCACGCCGTTGTGGCGCGAAGCACATTTCGAAGTCAAAATGTACAAAACACACCAGCTTCGGACCACTTTTGGAAGTTGAGATGTCGAAAAAGTGCACGCCGTTGTGGCGCGAAGCACATTTTCAAGTCAAAATGTACAAAACACACCATGGTCGGACCACTTTTGGAAGTTGCGATGTCGAAAAAGTGCACGCCGTTGTGGCGCGAAGCACATTTCGAAGTGAAAATGTACAAAACACCACATGTTCGCGCCACTTTTGGAGGTTCAGATGTCGAAAAAGTGCACGCCGTTTTGGCGCGAAGCACATTTCGAAGTCAAAATGTTAAAAACACCAGGGGTTCGGACCACTTTTGGAGGTCCAGATGTCGCTTCGCGTGGCAGGCGCAAGGGATTTTGCACCTTGTCAAAAGTGAGCAAAAAACTTGAGGGTTTTGAAGCATTTTCAACTACAACCACCACTACACCACACTACACTCCAATACATTACACTACACTACAACTACAACTACAACTTCACTACATTCTACTACACTACGCTCCACTACACTACACTGCACTCAATTACACTCAATTACACTATACTACACTACATTACACTACACTACACTCCACTACACTACATTACACTACACTACACTAATTACCTTCCACTACACTTCACTACATTGCACTACACTACACTCCACTACACTACAACTACAACTACAACTCACTCCACTACACTCCACTACACTCCACTACACTAAATTACACTACACTACATTACATTACACTGCACTACACTCCACTAAACTACACTACATTACACTACACTACACTTCACTACATTACACTACACTACACCCAACTACACTACA